TAGACCTGCGGCCTCCTGCCGAAGTCCGCCAATTTGTAACACACACTCTCTAGGACAAACCGGCAGTTCCCATGGCTCCAGGGAAATATAGGAGACATTGTAACTGCGGTCGTGTATTCCATCATATTCAGCATCCATACAAAGTGAATTGCTGTTCATTGGGCCGCCACCCACTGAGTCTGGAGGTTTTAGCCGGATTGCGAAGTCCAATGTTTGGTAGCAATAATCATCTAAGCATTTATCCTTACCGCAGTGCGCGATCTCAGTGTCCTTGGTTGTACATCGATACAACACTTTTATCTAGGTAAGCATAGGATCACAATCTTCCTTGAGCGAACTCCCGCAACTTTGCCATTGACTTCAACTTGGCGTTGAATTATGCAGAATTGTTCTTCGCCTTTTTCAAATCCTCAATGCAGTCGCTCCTAGGAAATAGTTTTCCAAGAGAGCGCGGCCGTCAAGCCAGTGAACCGTGCAGAAAGACCTTCAGCATCTAAAACCGAAAGCCCGGTTCCGACTCTTCCGCAGTTGAGGCTAGCCTTCGGCTCCGGGTGACGAGTTGCATGCTACTTTGACGGCAGGCATGGCGGCGTTCAGGTTAGGTGGAGAATATGGGAAAGCCATTTCCCCACATTCGCTCGACGCCAAGCCGCTGGTGGGAGCACTTTTCCCACATGCGCCCACTCCATCTCTGTGAAGGGTCATCAGAGACGAGCGAAATCCATTCTGATCGCAACTTCATTAATAGTAGTCGAGGAATTGACTTGTTTCTATTCAAGTATGGTAGTATGTCGTGTAAAATGCGGGGTTGCGCATGGCGATCGATACAACCTTGTCCTCGGCGCAATTCGTCAGGGGCATCTCTCCGATCCGTGTCCCCCGGTTTGTTGACAGCAAATCTCCGAAGGTTTCGTCAAGGCTTAATGTTTAACCAGGAAACATGAATCATTTATATATTGGGCGGTCAAACTCACGGTCAACGTCGGTCAGTTGGTGCACTGTTGGCCGCCGTTTTCGAAAAGCTGAGCACGACAACTTACTGCAAACATGAGGACCGTCGCTTTTCTTGGGCTTGTTGCCGCTGCTGTCGCTACTGACCATGGGCCATCAGTAAGTCCAACGCTCCTCGGCCTCTTGGGCCCATGAAGACTGACAAGACGTTTTTTTGATAGTACGGCGGCACTGGCCCTTACAAGTCGGTATGCATACAGTGGCCCTTATCACGTGCGTGGATTTCGACTAACATGAATGAAAGTACTACTTCGAGGTTGAATCACTGGCCAATCATAGCTTTTACCAGCCCCTAGAATCCGCGGTTGGCTCAAGCCTCAAGCTGCCCGTCATTGTCTGGGGTAATGGCGGCTGCAAGCCTTGGTAAGGGTGCCCCAAGATCTTAAAAGAATTAGCGCTAACACGGACCTAGTATGTCCCATACAAACCTCTTCTCCATGAACTTTGCTATGTGCTAACGCGCTTAAGTCGGTCTTACCTTCAGAGGATTCCTCGGCGAAGTAGCCTCCCACGGTGCACTTGCCATCGCCACGGGGCGAGCATATGTCGACCCCGAGACCTACGTGGCGCCTCCTGATGATCCGTCAGTGAACGCATCCGGCCAGAATCCAGCTGCTCTCACTGCCGCTATTGACTGGGTTCACGCCAACGCTGGCAAAGGCGATTGGAAACACATCGACGCCTCTCGCATTGGTGTTTGGGGACAGAGCTGTGGAGGTCTCGAATCCTACGGCGCCGGCCTGAATGATTCTCGTGTCAGCCATATCGGCATCTTCAACAGCGGTCTTCTCAACGAGACCTCGAGCAAGGAGATTGCCGGCAGCCTCAAGAAGCCCGTGTTCTACACTCTTGGTGGACCGACTGACATTGCCTACACAAACGTTTGTTGCCTTTCCAATGGTTTCATGACTACCTTATTCGAATGCTGACTTCTAACTAGGGTGAGCGTGACTACTCAGATGTTCCTGCAGGAACCCCGGCTTGGAAGGGGAATCATGATCTCGGCCACAGTGCTGCCTTTGATGCCCCCAATGGTGGAATTCCAGCCGTGGTTGGCACCCAAATTTTGCAGTGGATGCTGCGTGGGAACGAGTCAGCTAAGGCATGGTTCACCGGCGAGGGTCCTAAGACCATTGGCATCAACGATGTCGTCTTCAAAGACTTGGACAACATCAAGGTCACTCCTATTCAGTAAATACTGGCCATCCGTTCCCGCAAGCAAATATCAAATGACGGATTAAACGTCAAGTCCATATGTAGTCTTCTGGCATCCGTACATACTTTAGCAATCAATTCCATTTCAGGTACCATGGATGCCCCTTTGGATCAATGATCACATCCGCATACCGAAGGTAATGATGTCGCACAAATGCGAGAGGCGCTTTCTGCTAAAACCCACAATTCACTGGCAGTGCGCTCTCTCAGTGACATTAAACGACAACATTCCTCAAGTGATTACTGGTTTATGTAAGGACTTGTGAAGTGCCCAAATACTTCCGTCAGCTTCTCGGTGAATTCCCTGATGATTGATTAGCCCATGTCCCGAGCATCTATGCCGAGTTTCGATAATATCGCTGCCCCACTGCCAAGAGACGTTGGTCTTTTCCCACATTGTGGGATGGACCCGATCATCCGGTAGTGGGAAAACACTACCACACTACCCCATGGGATCTCCGCATTTCTCAAGGTCAGCAAACGTCGTCAAATTGGTGCTAGATTATGGTGGTCACGCAGGGGGTTATTAGATGTTTAGCCTTTCGAAGTGCTCGTAATATGTGGATGATAAATCCCAACAGGCAGCTCATTGTCAATCGTTGAGAGACACAGAAATCGAAAATGATGGCCAGTCATTCTTTCTTGACATCTTTCGTCTTTACTTTCTTACTACTCTTTATTGTTCAGCCATCAATTGCCATTTCAGTATTGACCACTAACGGCACAGTTGTTGGCGTGGAGGATGCTGTCAACGGTGTGCAGAGATTTCTGGGTATTCCCTTTGCGGAGCCACCTGTCGGTGACCTGCGGCTGCGACAAGCTGTGTCTCTGAGGAAGTCTTTTGGCAATTTACAAGCAGGCAAATTCGGACCTTCTTGTTACTCTGCGAGGGACCAAGGCAATTCAAGTGAAGATTGTTTGACGCTCAACATATGGAGACCGACGAATGCGACGTCCATCAACAGCCAGTTGCCTGTGTTGGTCTGGTTGTACGGAGGTGGGTTGACAAATGGTTACACCGTAAGTCATTGTCTCTATGTGATGCACACGCATGAACATATCTTACATGGAAATATTTGTCAGGCCGATCCCAGATTCGAAGGGACTTCTGTAACACGTATTTCTCAGAATATTGGCAAGCCTATAATTCTCGTCTCAGTGGTAAGTCCGTAGTAGACTGGTACCAGTACCTCTCGTTTTATGGCGTGGGCGAAAGGCTGATCAAACACTAGAATTACAGACTAGGCCCCTTCGGGTTCTTGAATGGAAAAGAAATGGCCGAACTTGGTTTACTCAATATTGGTAAATAAACTCCATGTTACTGTATTTCATTTCTTACTATTTCATCATAATCTAACAGACGCCCAAATGTCAGGCATGCTAGACCAACGAAGGGCATTCAGTTGGATTCAGGACAACATCGCTGCGTTTGGTGGCGACCCCAAGAAGGTCACCTTAGCAGGAGAATCGTAGGTTCAGCCAGAGTGAGGACTCTTCGTCAATCCACTAATACAAAATAGAGCTGGTGCGGTATCTATCTACTCCCATATGATGGCATATGGCGGAAGGAATGACGGTCTCTTCCGCGGAGCCATCCTGCAGAGCGGTGGAGCGTTTCCATTGACGCCACCGAATACGACAGTGTTTCAGAGCACATTTGATTCGCTAGTCAGTGGCACAAACTGCTCTTCGCTTGCCAATGGCAGTGCTTCAGACAAACTGGATTGCATTCGCAAGTTGCCTCTTGACGAGTTCAGGGCAAAGGTGGGATCGTCGACTGGGCAGTCGGTTGATGGTGACTTTACCCGCACCTCCATTCAGCGAGCTCTGCCCGCTGGGCAATACATCAAGATACCCACAGTTGTTGGAAGTAAGCTTGACCACCCTAATAGGTTATGTCGAGAGTAGTATCTGACAATGCTCAGCAAACACCGACGAGGGCACCACATCGGCGCCGACCGGCATCAACACAACTGAACAACTCTCTGATCCAGTAGGTGAGTAATGACGACACCATGGAGCGCGTAATCCTTTCATAGCTCATCTGACACAAGTCCAGCTCAGGGTTACTTCCGCCCGAAGTTATTACCGAACGAGACGGTCTCAAAACTCATCAGTCTGTACCCCACAAATCCCCAATTAGGATGTCCGTACAACACTGGAAGTGCTCAGTTCACATCTGGGCTTCTCGATAAAATGGCATGCTCCATATTCGGTGACATGGTCCAGATTGGCCCAGCGCGGATGATTGCGCAGACATTAGCCCGAGATGGCGTTCCCGTGTACAGATATCGCTTCAACCACTTACAGACGAACACCTCATCAATGACGAAAGGCATCGGAACTGGGGTGGAGCAGCAATACGTATTCTCAAACTTGAATCCAGACCAGCCTTGGGACCAGAGCATGGCATATCAGATGTCAGCCTCGTGGATCAGCTTTGCACATGATCTTGACCCGAACACGGGCGTCTCTGGTATGTCGCTCTCATAACGATGTTTGCCATCAAACGGATGCTGACACAAACAGGAACTGGATTGCCTCTCTGGCCACTCTATGGCAAGGAAGCAAACAGTATTGTGTTCAATGGATATGGCTCGTGGGTCGAAGCGGACACATATCGAGACCAGGCTGTTCAGTTCATCATTGACAATGTCCTAAATGATGGCGCATCGTAGACGTAGCGGTAGACGGACACCTTGATCACGATAGAGGAAGCCATATTGGTCGTACGTAGATTTCACGAGCGATCGCTTCATAGTGGTCATATGCCGTCAACTACACCGGGCTTCCCATGCTCCAACCACCTCCTCCATCTCTCGCGTGACGCCCCAGTGTTGGGAAAGACTATGCAGCAGTATCCGAATTGCGCTCAGCTCATACACCAAATTCTGAGCGATCCATCCTGGGGATTGGGGATTCACATTATTCGTGAGAAACGCCAGCGTGTCTTTCGATACATCAGCCGTCGAAGACGTCGTGCCTTGTCCTGTGTCGTCTAGGCCTTGTAGGATCACCATACTCCAGTCCACGGAGGGAGGGACTAGGACCTTCGACAGCCCGGGAAGGGCGAATGAGCTGAAAGTCGTGGCTGCCGCAAACAACGCCCCAGGTAGACATGTGTCGTGAATGATTCCGAGAGGTATCTCGGATGCAATCTTGTGGATCTCCATGGCATGAAGCAAACATTTTCTCGCCCTAAGACCCTGCGTCCAGGCATTTGGGTCTATCCTGCTTGGCTCTTCGCGCTTCTTTCCCCCAAAGATGTGCTGTGTGATGTTGTAGTGATAACACATTCTTCTCGCCCCACGAGCAGTACTGACAACTAGGTCGAGGCAGACGGCATGCCATCGCAGTAGCCCAATAGTCTTGTCTGCTGCCGACAAGGTCGTGCTTTGAGCAAGATGGCTCCGCAGAGTTACCAATGCTTTCACGGCTCCAAGCTTCTGAGCAACCTGTGCCTGCGAACCCTTGTTCAATCTTTCGAAGTCATTTGTAAGCGATGCCAAGATTTCAAGGAGAATCCTGATGTTGAGGAGCCCTGGCAAGCAGTAGACTGGGCCCATGTGTGTTCCGTCAGGAACGAGCGAGTGATAGAGGTCTGAGAACCGATCTGGCCCACTCCCCGTGTTGTATCCGCGAGATACCATTACCTCGATCCACTCGTCTACTGTCTCAGCAGCAAAAGCGTCTTCATCGGCAGATAGTGGCAGCGAGTTTGTGGCTGACCAGGTGTTGACAAGGTTTCCACTGAACTGCGAGACCACGCCGTCAATGATGCACAGGCCTAGTAGCGTTCTCAATTGCGTCTCCCTCGCCGCCCATGATCTCCAAGCGTGCATTTTCGTCTCGATGGAGTCGTGAGTCTGTGGCAAGGTCTGTCGGTAAGGCACTAGGTCGTACATCCCACAGTACTGCGCCCAATGCATGCTGAGTCCGTAGAAAGTCTGGCTAGTCATTCTCAACGTCCGATTCTAGACAAGTGGTTAGTCACGACGGCGTTCATGCATCGGCTTAAAGGGATTTAACTCACCCTGGACAGAGCTGCATAGATCTGACTCAATAACGCCGTGAGAACGAGTTCAACTCCACTGCACGCGTCGTGCTCTCTCTTATGACCGGTCATTTCCGGCCATGAGGTCGCAATTGCTGTGTATGCAAGCCTCCACAGTGCTTCACCCTGATCATACGCTGGTCAGAATTAGAATCTCACAGAGACGCTATTGAGTTGCTTACTTTTACTGTAGCATCTTCCGTCCCGAGGAACAGAGAACCAAGAGCAATCGCGTTCAAGAGGAGTGGAGCCGAACAGTCCCGATACACGAACGTAGGGCGGTGAATGATCGGAAGTATGGGTACGAACTTAGTAAAGAACATATGTAGGCTGCTGTCGAGGAACCGAGGGGTTAAATCGGAGAGTTCTACATGAGAGGTAACGTTGAATAGCTTGAGGGCGACAAAGGTCAGTCAGCAGGCCTACTTTCAACATCGAAGACTCAAAGACCTGGGTCATCAGGAGGACTGTCTCACCGTGTTCGTGAGGATTCCATTGATAGTCTGTACCGCACGTTGCCCATCCTCTGCGAGGGCAAGCTCATCGCCATCGGCAGTACTACTGAGTCCAGCAGACTGCACATCCTGGGGCTGATAGGCCGATGGGATCAATCCAGGCATAGACTGGTCCCACGTCATCCCATCCGCTGACATCAGACTTTGGAAGAGTTCTTCAGAGTCAGGCCAAAGAAGAGACGAAGAAGCGACATCGTGGTTGTTGCCCTCATGGTCTGAGGCAGACACTACGCTGGCATGCATTGCCTGAGAAACCTGAGGCGCCACATTGTGTATCGCGACGTTTCCGGCAGGGGGCTGAAAAGGGTGAACTGAAGATGAGGCACTGCTTGCAACTCCGCTCGGAGTGAGTTGTGGCTGGGCTCCCTGCTTGTGTCCTTTGACGTGTCTGTTGAGCACATCTCCACGGGAAAAGCACCTATCACATATTGTGCATTTGAAAGGTCTTGATCCGGTATCTTAAGTGGAGGTCAGAATCTGGAAGACCGGGCAGAAAATCACCTGCGCGTGGTGGATTTTACCAACGCGCTAGACTTACGGGCTCTTTCGTGTCTCTGAGGGAAACTTCAGCTGAGGACGTCATTGGTCGGCAGCAGTTGCTGAGAGCCTCTCACCTTGAGGTGTTCCTTCTTTGTGAACCTCCTTCGGCAGAAGGAACATTCGAAATTGGTAACCGGGGCCGTCTCTCGGGATTCGTCGGCCATGGCGGTTGCGTCACATATGCATTTCCCACATGTGCGGTGGCTATTACGAATGTGTTGATGGAGAGAAGAAGAGCTTTTTCCCCAACTTCCCCGCAGCCCCCGCGACAATTGTGCAGACTGCAGCAAATGCCGAAAATCACGCTAAAGAGCCGATGGTGACAAGGGTACCCCTTTCCCACATTCACCCACGACAACTCACCCACCCCGGACAGTCGTCTTTCCCATTTCTCCCACACGGGTGAGCTCCACATTTCCCACCATCGTGCTGGGTTATTGAACCTACGGGGCATAGCAACACGAACAGCCGATTTGCTACGGTCTCCTTCCAAGCGATATTGATATGATCGTGCCGTGATGGAGTTCAGGCCGATGTGATGGAAAGTCCGTGCGGAGAGCGACCGCATTTCGTGGACTGAGTCAGGGGAACTCTGATATCGGTGTCTAGACTTCGGATATCTTGAACCTTCTGCTTAAGCGATTCAATCACTAGACACGCCCTTACGAAAAATGAGCCCAAGCGCGGCCAGAATTCACACGGCTGATATTATTTCTCTGTATATCATTTACCACGACGAGACTACTTGGTGTGTGTTCCCGCCCGACTGGATTAAGAATGCTTGATTGATATGTTTCCCTCACTGTCGCCAAATTCCTCGCGGCCCTCATCATTGAACAAACCTCATGGGGCAGCTGATAATCCCCAACTCCGGCATTCTTGAGTATTGCAACTCACCGTCTACCTCAAAGTCCATCGTGCTTCGCAGGATCACGCGGAGAACAATGTCAAGAGCCCTAGTACACAATCAGTACAAGCTCTTCAAGTTCCGTGACGTCTAATAAACTCACAATCTTGCAAGTGGCATGCCTGCACATCTATGTCTTCCCCTTCCGAATCCCATGTGCGATGCAATGTTCTCTCTGTGAAGAATGAAATCGTCGGGATTCTCAAAGACCTCTGGGTCACGATTGGCTGCTGTATAGCACAGGGTGATTGGCTCTTTCGGATGTATCGTCTTGCCATGAAGACAGACTTCCTTTGAAGTCGTCCTCGCAAAGCCTCGATATGGACTGTAGAGTCGCAAGAACTCCTCAATTGCAGCTGGTATGAGGGACTCATCCTCTCTAAGTCTGTTCTGCAATTCTTTGTCTTTGGAAAGGTGGTTGCATATTGAGCCGATGAGAATGGGGGGCGCGACAACACCCACCACCAAAGATTGTCGGAGGCACCCGCTGGACGAAGGTGAGAAATGCAATGCGTTGATATAGCATGGGCCTTACATGAGATGTTCCTCCTTCAAAGGATGACCCTCAGCATCTCGCTCTAGGAGTAGTGAAGACGCTGGGTCTTCTTCTGGGTCCCTTGGATGTATCCGTCGGTCGGCAAGGAGTTCTTGTGCGATTTGATACATTTTCTGTGAATTTGTCGTGACCGTCTCACCGTCCTGCATCCTCCAAGCATTGAGCCAACTTGCGGCAGTGACAGCCAGTTTTGGAGCAACATCGGGCTCGAGATTTAACCATTCGGATTCCATGCGGGCAACAAAGTTCGCTGCAAACTCGGCACTGATGTCTCCACGGCCCCGGGCTATTAGAGGCGCGAGCTCCGCTTCCGCATGCTTCTGCAATGGCTCCCGTAGTCGTCTCAGTCGAGCTGGCTTCACTGTGCGTTCAAGCGCAGTTCGGAAGGGGGTATGAGCTGGTGCGTCAAAGTTCAAAGGCGGTCTTCGGATGCCTCTAGGGTCGCTTGGTACAACTGCCCTGACACTCGATATGTAGGTTTCGGAATCCATAGCTGCTCGTTTAACGTCATCATACCGCGTAAGAAGCCAATATCCCCCATACTGGCTGGTGTGAATGAGGGGACATTCTTTTCGAAGATATCGGTACTCTTCATAGATCTTGGCGGGATCGTTGCTGATCACTGCGGCTGACGTATCGATGTCAAAAGGTAAGTTGTCCCTTTGGACCTGCTCTGAGGTGCTAATGGCAGCCATGCCCATCGGTGAAATCTGGTGACCAAAAGATGAGAAGACGTTTAACCTGTGAAAGCTTGTCGTTAGTTTACATACGGTTGGAATGGCCCGGAGACGTGATCGAGCGAAAGTTGAACGCCCAGCGGCCCAGGTCATGTCTTGCAGCACGGCCTGAAATCAGACAGAACCCATTGACAGCCCCTCACTATAAAATCCGGGACCGTCTGAGTCGCAATCCGCTGCAAGCTTTCGGGTCGTCGAATAGCGAAGTCATCCTCGGCTTCGATGTAGGTGGCCTAGTGAGTGGGAAAGTGGGGTGGTTGTGCTGGCCGATGTGGGAAAACGACAGCCAAGAAATCTGAACAACCTATTGAACGACACAGCGAGAAGGTAGATGCAGATTATTTATTCTTTTTAAGATCGGGTTTAATCTAATAGGCAATCTGGGGAAAATCTGGGGTTGGTGTGGCGGCACTGTGTGATGAACCTGGCACAGCTTTATGCTCAGGCCTCTCAGTACAAAAGGAAACAGCCCCGTAGACAAGTGTTATAGCTCGAGGCACAGGGCCATCTGTTTACCCCGAGACAATATGAGCCGTGCGTTACCTCATGATAAAGGGGATAATGACCCTGAGCATCTCGAAATTGTACAGAATGATGTCGCCCAACAGCACCAGACCCACTATCGCCCCGTGGACGACGAGGAGAAAAGAATCGACAGAAGGGTCAACCTCAAACTTGATTTGATCGTCGTCAGTCTTTTGGCGGTTGAATTCATTGTGAGTAGAACAACGAAGGCATCTGACGCATTCTTTCTTGAGCTCACCTAAGCCAGTTCTGTGGCATCGACAAAACCAACATTGGCTTCGTGGCGACCAGCTCGTTTATCAAAGATGCGAACCTTTCCCCTGACGATATCCCAAACTCCTTATCACTTTTCTCTGCTACGTACGTGCCACTTCAGCCATTCATGGTGATTCTGGCACGCCGCGTTGGCGTCAAGTACTTTTTGGGACTTCAGCTCATCGCATGGGGTGGACTCTGCATGTGCCACGCCGCCATCAAAAGCAGTGGTACGCTTATTGCCCTTCGACTTCTAATCGGTGCTGCCGAGTCTGGATTCACTCAGATCGGTATGTTTTATATGTCCACGTTGTATCCCAAGTATGATGTCGGCTTCCGAGTCGGGATGTTCACGGGGATGTACTCCGTCGCGGGGGCATTCGCTGGAGTCTTGGCATACGGACTTCTGAAAATTAGCTCACCCACCATACACGGATGGCAAGTGGTCTTCCTATTTGAAGGCGCTATAACGGTTTTCCTTGGTATCTTGACCTTCTTTATTCTGCCCAAGAACCTTTCAACCGCCTGGCTTCTCACGACCGAGGAGCGTGCTCACGCTATACGCCGGATGGAGATTGATTTAGCGGGAACTCAGGAGGAGGGCGATATCGGGAGCACCGCCGTTGTCAAGCGCGATTTCATTGACGTCGCAAAAGATTGGAAGAAGCTTCTCGTTGTGGTTTGCAATATCACAACTGTCCTTCCAGTAACGGCTTTTACGACATTTCTGCCACTGATAGTTCAGGGCATGGGATACTCTGGCATTCAGGCAACTCTAATGAGTGTTCCCCCGTTTGTAGTGTGAGTTGCTTTACAAGTCACAATGTTTCTTCTTGGGTTGGACTAACTTTACCTGTAGTGGTACTGTCGGCCTTCTTGTCATCGTTTGGCTGAGCGACCATTTGAAGGAACGCTCTATGCATACTGTCGGCGGCATGTGTCTGGGTATCATCGGTTGCATCGTCATGGCTACTTCGACCAACACCCAGCTTCGATACGGTTTCGCTCATGTTTGCATGGCAGGCGTTTTTGTTGGCGGTCCCCTGCTAGCAGTATGGCTAGCAGGAAACACGCCATGGAAGGGCACTAGAAGCGTCATGATGGGGATCAATGGATGGTCCAACATTGCCGGCGTTATCGCAGGACAGGTTTTTAAAAGCAAGTATGCGCCAAGATGTAGGTCAATCGATCCTCCCACGTAAACAGGGCTTTTCAAACTGACATCTGATAGACGAGGTACCTCTGATCATAACTATGGTCATTATGGCTTGCGGCATTTGCGGTTTGGTGTTCCTCAAATACGCGTACAAAATGGAGAACAGAAAGCGCGCAATTGAGATTGGAACGTGGGATGAAACTCAGTTTGCAGCTGAAGCCAGATCTGAGATACGGAGAGGGGACCAAAGACGCACATTCATGTATGGAACATAGCTTGCGGTTGGAATTGAGGACTTACATAACACGAATATTGACATTCCCAAATCAGCACTTACAGAGGTGTTCTCTGAGAAATACTGAGACCTGGTTTAATAGACAATGCGTGGTTCAAATAAACTTATTAAACCAATATCGCAATCAACCTTCAGGCTTTTGGTGCATTTTAAGGTTCAAAAGGCCCTTAGTAAGGTTGTCCCCCTGGCTGCTAATCGCTGGCCCCAGAACCCTAGCCCGAAGCTTGGCATCGTCCAGCGTTATCTATTCCGCATCAAACATGGAAGCCTTTCCTACGTAAGAAAGTTGGTGATGCTTCGCATGCCCATGACCAACTTCTGCGTTTCGTCACTAGTTTAACACCAGTCAAGCCCTCGCGATGATCACGTTGAGGTGGAGCACCAGCGAGAGGTGCAATCACATTTCACAATCCTTACGGAGCTCCTGGAACTCTTGGATTATCAAACTTGCGAGTCAGGCGTCTGAGCGCGGAACGCGTGGCTCGTCTACAACGGGCGTCTTCGATAACGAGCAACGCGCAGGCAATGGGTTCGTCCTCGTCGGATCAGATGTTTGTCGGCAACGCCCAAACAAAATATGGGGCCAAGGGGGCACTAAATTACAGTGAGTTAACATGATACAATGAATGGCAACTGAGCGAAACTCGCGGGGTTCGGCTGATGAGCAAACGCGATTGCACCCCACATATTTGAGTTCAGCATGGAGACAGTTGACCCCTGGCCAGCTCATGGCATAGGCGACAACTAGCTCAAGACGATTCACTTGAGTAATGTAGTCCGTGTACACAACTCCAGGTCGCGGCTTGGTGTTCTCGGCAACATGATCAACAGGGTGTTTACTATCAATTCCGATCAAGGAGCCAAGCGACCCAGAGAGGCAATGTAACGGTGGAAAGGCGAGCGGATGAGTATATATAGGCTTCCATGCCTCGCCCCAAAGACTGGATCACAGTGCTCTATAATCCTTCTCTTTCATCTCATCAATTTTCAAAATGAAGTTCACTCTCGCTTTTGTGCTTACCCTTGTTGCTGCCGCCTCTGCTGCATCTGTTGATGTCGGCCTGGTCCAGAGGCAGGACAACTTCTAAGGGTGGTAAGTCTCAATTACATCTCAGACGTTTGGTGTGCAACTAAGGCTGACCATCAGAAGCCAACTGTGGTGGTCCTGGAGACCGCGGATGCTGCTCTGGCACAACTTGCAAGAGCACGTACGCGCCTGTTGGCGGCGTCGGTATGATTTGTCAGTAAGCCGGGCAATCTTCAATGCGTATGTGTCACTCAGTATTATAGAAACCTTGATGAAGAAAACGCAGCTAACTCTGGGAGTGAATTCAGACATTTAATGGAAATTTGTGTCTTAACGAGAATATTTGATGACGGTGTGATAGCGCAGGTAGCAAGCCAATTCATGACAGCTGCCTCGAATGTACCCAATACTCAATATTTATGATTCACTTCATCACAACCATGACATCCAGAGCGAGCATAGCATCCAGAATATCGCGAAAAGTGCAAAAGGAACGTGAACATTAATACGGTGTGTCAATGCATGTGTTTTATAAGGCAGACAGGCCCATGAAAGCAAACAAGTCTGTAGGGATGTTGAAGTTTTCACGAAACCAATCTCATTTCGCGATGATAGACGTACACAGTCCTATCCCGTTGGCGGGATTATTCTCTATGACGTTCCCTCTTTAGGTGTGATAAACCTACTTAGTAAACAACTTCATACTTGGGCCATTGGTCAAGTCATAAAATCAATTGTCGGTTAAGACAAGCACAAATCTCTACCACAGAACAGCAAAAATGAAAAGGAAGTAACATGAAGCAAAATTGAGCACAAGAAACCCCAAGAAAATCTTCTGCTATAAATCACCCTCGGACACTAGTCGTAAGCTGCTAGCCTCCATTCTTGTGAGGGGTCGATAGCTGTCGTCTCTGGATTTCCGTCCCAGTAACCACGTTTACCTTCCTGATAAAGACCAGATCGAATTATCCAAGAACGTTCTTCTGATCGAAGTGAAGGGGCGTTTTTGTAGATTTCATCCCCAATGTCAAGGTCGAGATCATGTACACTTTGGTCGAACCATCCAATACGTGTCAATCTGCCTTCGTCCCAGAACACATATCCACACGACCTCAGTGATCTGAAAAGGTCCTCCATCGCCATATTGCACCTAAAGCTCTGCTCGCCCCAGCCTTCGTAGTGTTTCACATGGGACCACTCCCAAAGCCTCTCGACGGTAGAAAGGGTGTCATCTTCCTTCACATCGCCTGGTTTGGTGACCCGCCCTATGCCGGATTCCTGACCTTTTTGTCTTAACAAAAATAGGTTCTTGTACGTCTGGAAAGTCTCGTACAGCCAGTTGCATTCATGATGTATAGCCTCACGGCCGCCCATGAGTACCCAGCGATCGTGAAAATTTGCGGTATTCAGGATTTTGTTGACGTATCTTAAGCCGCCAGACAATAGCCACTCCACGTGGCCATCATCATAATCGCGTGCGTACCTCACTTCATCCCAGGCCCAGGATATATCGTGCATGGCACAATCATTAAAGACTGTAATCTATGTTAGTATACTCCTCAAAAATCCGAAGAACTCGGACTGTAAAATCGGCGACTACGTACGAGGTGCAAGGAGGCGGAAGAGCGCCTCATGGACACTTCCGAGTTGCTCAATTTCCCAGGGCTGGTAGATGTCGAAAAAGGTGGTCCATTCTTCTCGAACGTCATCATTTGGCCAAAGGTGTTCACCTAGAGGTGGAAAGGTGTTGCAGTAAGTCTCGAATCGAAACAGAGCCTGTTGGATACGACGTAACTCGTCGTCAGAAGGTGGCCATTCGTGTCCATTGCCAATGTGAGACTCGAGATTATTCAAGTATTCCCTACAAATCGCAAGCGAAAGGTCTGCGACATTGTTGCGTAGTTGTATGGCGGCAATTCCTTCGGAGACTGTCCAATCCAGGGATCCCTCTGGCTCACGCTGAAGAAGGTGCTTCCTAGCTTCTGATAGCTCCTGCTTCGAAAGGCTTGAGTTGCGCAGTCGACTCGCTTGGATAGCTCGAATGACCTCGGGGAGTAATGAACAATCCAGCTCTCGGTGCAAGACGGAGTCGATCAAGGGACTTGAAAACGAGTGAAATGCGCCATAAAATGCGCGACAAGACGCAACAGCGTGTAAAAGGCTGTGAATGTCGGAAGAATGCGACAAAATCAATCTCAAAAGTTCTTGCGGAAGAGACGACAGGTCAGCCGGGTTATGCGATCCGCCGAAGTCCGCCATTGAGATGAGTGGCTAGCCGAAACGCAGATTGTTTTTGAGTGTTGGTGTTGGAAATTGAAGCTGACAGGTTCTGGATTTTAACTTCGCTGGGTCCATGCAATTAGCAGGCTTCCTCTGTTAGGGATTATTCTCTGCTGGCGGTTATTTGGTCTCAATGCCGCCGGCCCAACCAACAACATGTGGACTGCGCCTCACAGGACGCGCGCGTTGCAACAGTACCCATGTCGGTCTATTTGCATAATTAGCTCCCAACGTGACAACTTTCCCCGCGCGCTTAGCTGACTTCCGCAAGATTTGTCGGGGTATGATACAGGACAAGAAATTGCCTGTAATTCAACGCGTCTTTCTTGCCAAAGGCCCAGCCAGCACGATGTTGTGGCGGCGGCTTCCGAACGGCCGGGTGGCCTGCAATCCCGGCCGGCGTACCATTTGAAAACCGGCGCTTGCCTGAACTACGACCAAACCAACAGAGATGATACATGGAGTGCTGGATCGTTTGAAGAGCAGACTGAATGCGCAGCGACGATTCAAGTAGAAAAGGCCCCAATATCCGGGTTCACATGGATCACTTGGATAACAAACACATGGACCATTTTCGTCTTATTTGGCCTACAATCTCCATTACCTTTCCATACCTTTACTTCGAACAACATGGGTTCCTCAAGTTCCAAACAGAAGCATCCCACCTGGGGTCCCGGCGGAAACCCTTCCAAGGCTCAGCAGCCTGGAGGATTCCCGCCAGCCAGCTCCATTGCTGTAGCTCCCGTCACCCATACCGGTTCGGCACCCATGTGGAGCGACAAAGGTTCTTCACGACACAACGACTTCTATCGCAACAATACACAGCACTTGAGAACGGATGGGGCCTTGAATGGGCAGAAAATGCCCCCAATGGCACCATTCAATGTACAGTATGAGCACGGAAAGGCTCTCGACAAACGAGCCGAGCGCCTTGACAACGACGTCAAGACATATAAGGCGACAGCCAACCCCCAGGGCAGGATGGAAAAGAAGCGCGGTAACCCGGACTTCCGTGGCAATCCACCAGAGAGTCAGGAGTGGCACAATGGGGCAGCTGAACGTTTAGATGAGGCCAGCCGGACATGGAAGGCGTAAGTCAATGGCCTTTACACATCACACATTTGACACCCAACTCTGACTTGACCTGTGACTAGGGCTGGAGATGCCAGGCAGAAGACGGCACACGACTTCATTGGGTATGATAGTCTTCAGGGGCACAAAGGGCATCAGAAGCGCATCCAAAGATGCTACCAGTCAGGTGACAAAAGGACTATAGCCGCAGAGAGTCATAGAAAGGCGTTTGCGTAGGTGCCAGCGGAATCTTTGTATATCAATACTATCTTTTTTACTACATGACATCTATCTCAGTCAAACTCATCCACAGCAAGCGAACACGGGAGTACATGAGTAGATGCAATTCGTGATTTAACGTAAACTGGGATGTCACCATATGGGTCAATCAGATGAATTTGACTCTCCGAGCTGCTCATTTCTCTGGTTGAGGTGCTTTATATCTACTCGTACCCAAGGTGAGTTGGGCAAGCTGATTGAGCAGTGCGAGCACGTACACCGTTTTAGGGCCGCGCTTGAGACAGACTAACACCTTGTAGACGCATTTGTGTTGATAGCGAAACACATCACGAGCCACATACGGACCGAGATAGCTTTTATCATTGAATTTGTGGGTATTGGTTCGCTTGCGTCATAGTACCGGACAGCTGTTGGACTAAAATATGGTAGGTTATATACAGACTTAGAGGGCTAGTCCAAGAACCAGCAAATAATGGTATCCGAGAAGAAGAGACACGATTCCTATCGCCGTAGCCATCTAAGAGATTGGGGTGGCAGCAATGTAGTTGCAGTCCTGGTTGTCAAAGGGGCTGCCGCAGCCAACCTTGGTATCCTTGTCGATGAACACTGCTGGCAGGTTGAAATAGCATGTAGGAACCTTGCCCCAAGCCAGGTTGCTCAGGTCAACCTTATCCTTGTTATCTCCACCGTTGAGCGCGCAGTCAATGATGGCACGGTAGTATGGGTCACGGTTTCCAAGTCCGTACGAAGCCATCTTGTCGTAAATCTCGGCCTCGACCTCAACCCAGTCGTTGTCACGGTTCGGGTTGGGGCTGTTGCGCATGATGTAGAAGCAGTACTCCTCGCCATCCCGGAGTGCCATCCACTGGCGTCCAGGAGCATATCCGCAGTCCTCGCGCGACTTGACGTTGTCGCGCCTGTCGGCGACGAGGTGGAGCTTGGCGGCACTCATGACGTCGTTGGCGACCTTTGGCTTGATGTTGTTGCTGATGGACTGGAGGGCGACGGTGACGGCCTGCTCATCGTCGTCGACGAGGAACCAGCCGCCGTTGTAGAACTTTGTAATCTTGCTCTGAAAGGTGTCCCACTTGGGGGCCGGGAGCGAGTTGTACTCGGCCTGGCTGGTGCCGCCACCGGTGGCGATGCGGAGAGTGTTTTCGAGGGCGCCCGTGGCTGCCTTGAAGGCGTCGGCCAAGGCGGCGGAGATTGAGCCTTGGTCGATCTCGTCGGCGCTGTTGGAGGAGGCAAGGCCAGAGAAGATGCCGCTGAGCATACCGAAGCCACCAGCAATGGCAGTTCCCTGTTGTGGCAATGTGTTAGCAAGGGTACTGAAAACCTCACATGCTTGTCTGAATTTGGCAAACTTACAGCTCCAGGAACCAGACCTCCGATCGCACCACCCATGGAAGCCGCGGCAGAAAGCCATCCAAGGACGTCACCAGGGTCGTCCTGGTTTCCTTGGAAGTCGGTCACCATCTGGCCAATCTGCAGTCCGCTGATGAGAGTCTCCTTGGTGAGCTGTCGGTTCAGCTCATTGAATTTGGCATGCATGCCCTTTACCGCTTGGAAGATCCAGTAGGAGTTCTTGCCAATAGGAGTCTTGCCGTAGGCGTCGTATTGGGCATCGCATGTCATGTCGTTCAATGGCTTACACTCGTTTCCGAGAGCCGAGCAGCCGGCGGCACCAGACTTGCCCGATGTGCCACCCGAGACAAAGTCTTCAAGGTTCTTAACCCAAGAATTCTCGTGTTCTGTTCATTATACATCGATTAACATGATGGTTCATATCAAGATAGAGAGCTGCATACTTACCCCAATGAGTCTTGATGAAGAGGTCAAGTGATGCTCCAGAGTAGGTATCTTCCCAGAGCTTGTCGGCGCCCTCGGGGGTTGTGAGATCCCATCCTTTGCACATGGCATCCTTGCTATCAAAGGCATCCCGCTTGACGGAGACACCAAGCGGCGAGGCATTGGAAGCGGCCACAATGGCCAAAAGAGTGGCAGAAGTCTTCATGATCGAGGACTGATCTGTGGCGTATCTGGCTAATGAAAGAGGGAAAGCAAGGATTAAGGTCCTGAGAAAGAATGTGATGGTTGCTGAAGCTTGAGGCTGTGTTGATCTGTGAGAGTTAAGGATGAGGAGTGGCAACATTGGATCTTATTTAACTTGAACAACATTGACGTGGAGGGGACTTTGGTGGTGAGATCACAATGGCTGCTTGAGTCTCGACCCCGGTAAGGCTGTCGGCCATAATCGCGATGCCTAGCAGATTAATTAATGTCGAGATGAAATTTGGGGGCTGGTATGTATTGAACGTCGAAGGATCGAGCTTCTTTGGTAAAGAACAGGGACTTTGGTAGAATATTTGGTTCTGTGCCTGGCGAAGGATCCTCAACTTAGATTCTAGCCGCCTAGAACACCCATGTCAAAGTCTAAAATCAATCCATAGCTACTTAATTGAGGGGAATTGCACTGCCTTTGGGAGCGGCCATCAATGCAACCCGTAAGCATCAAGGGGCCCCATAAGCTAATTTTGAAAGCGTGGAACATGTCAGCTTGCTCCACCTCCCGGGGGCTATGCAGGGAACCTGCAGCTGTGCTCTCAGGCAGTCATAAATCAGGGACTTTGGGATGTTTTCGTAGATCTTTCTGATTATTGCCTGCCACTGCCGAGATTTAATCGCAGTGCACAATAGGGTCTGATCGACAGGAACGCTCGCTTGGCGACGGGAGGCGGCAATTGAATAGGCGAGCTCTTATTCCCCGAGCTCTTTGCGGGCCCCAGCACGACCTTTTAGGGCCATTATCCCCTGACGTTGTGCATGAGGAACACTCCGCGTTATTAGGCAGCTCAGAAGAGAGTAATATTGATTCTCGGGCGGGCCATATAAGCGAAACCGACATGCTCGATGTCGATGACAGTGTTGATTCACTTTGTACGCCGTCTAACCCCCAACAGTCTTTCTGAAGGTGCGACAGTTTGTGGTGACGGAACTTCAGTGCGACTTAGACGCGGGCGTCGGATGGGCTAAGGCCAACAAGAATGGCTAGAAGGATCGAAGGCGCGCGCCTAACCCTGTCAACGCGAATCAAGTAACCAAGTAAGCATAAGGAACTGGGTCGCATGCGAGTTGTCCATGTCAATTCTTCCCGTTAATGTCAAAGACGCGAAAGATTGAAACATACCGATGGAACTATTTGGGGGAACATCTCTTGACCCTCCTCCAGCTGACCCGTTTCGGTACCACCCTACCCAATGGAGGCAGATAAGACTGGGAGCCGCATTTACGCATGGAAATCCTGTTGCCCTTAAATAAGGATGGTTTGAGGTTCTTCTGCTTTCAACCACGGTCTTAGCCATGCATCCCTCTTCCCCCACAGGGGATTCGAATGGCCTACTCCATCGCTCTAGTACCCACGGAGCCCTTTGTCAAAAGGTGCTGACAGAACTTCCCCCAAATCAACCTCGTCAAAACTCATGCTATGTTGGCGGGTTGTCAATGAATCTGAGCGCGTCGCTGTGCCAGTCCATTGATATGGGATTCATCCAACCGAGCTCAACCATTCGTTCTTCGTCCCAAAAGACGTAGCCGCAGGCTCTGAGACGAGCTGTCTCCATTACCAGGACGATTCGCTTGCGAGCTTCAAAGTTGGGTTGCCCTGACCATCTTTGGGTCACCCAGTCCCAGGTCCTATGTGGCCCGTCTTCAGTTGAAACCCGGCCGACTGGATAGTGAGTGTCTTTATGGGCCCCCCTCATTTGAGAGTACTCGATCAAACAGTGGGTTTCGTAGTATTCGAATGTTTCGCGTAAGAAGCCGCCGAAGTCGCAGACAGGTTCATCAGGTCGGTCAAATCCCAGTAAATCATATCGCTCCGCCCAGTTATTGCAAAGTGAAATCTCATTTATCTCTTTTAGCCCTCGTGCTAGTAGATATTCAATGCGTGCGTCCCCATAGTAAAGAGCAGTGCGACAGCCTTTGATGCTGTGTAGAGCCAGGTCGTTATACACTATTCATAGATTGTACCTTGGTCAGCAACAATGAAACGAATGGGGCTCTGTCGAACATAGGGTTCCACCTATGAACTTCAAAACGAGAACTTTAGTTTCAATGGGGCCAAGCCTACCTTGGGCAATAAGGCGCCAAAGTGACTCGTAAATACAGCCAAGCTATTCATTCTCCCATGGAGCGCTGCCAGCAAGGAACTGCATTTGCGCCTTCATCCCACCATCTAGATCGTCCACATAGTCTGGGTAATCGTGTTCAAGATCCTGATGCTGAGGAAACAAGATTCGATAGGTCTCAAATCGATACAGCGCCCGCTGAATGCGGAGGAGCTCTGTGCTGGAGGCGGGCTTTATCTCCACGTGGGGATGGATGGATTGAATACGTGCGAATATCTCTGATACGATCCTCAATGATAAAGACTCCACGATCTCGTGCAGTGGGATTGCAGAGTAGGCCCCATGCAGAGTCCAGCGGAAATGATGCGGTGTTTCTTGGTCCCGACGTAGGAACTCGGCGAATGAGACGTTGGCCACCACCACGCCATCCTGAGACCGCAAAAGATCTAAGACTCTTGTGAGACGCGCAGCTTCGAATAGCAAGTCCTTCCCGATCTCTCGCTGGACAATCGCTGTGACGATGGGCGCTGGGAAGGCGTAAAACGCATGAAACAAGGTGCCGCAGGAGTGGACTGTCGAATCCAGACTGCCAATATCGGCTGAGTGAGACAAAATAATTCTCAAAATCTCTACAGGCAGCTCGGTAATTCGCAAGCGGCCGCCGTTGCTAGGCCTGTCCATCTTGCCAGTGTATCTTTGAGAGATGCTTTATTCAAGGTAGTCTCATGTGTTGTTGACGACGCGGAGGATTTGTTTTCGGAGCGCACCGGCCATTCGGCTGGTGATGTTCGCTTCGCGAACCAATCAACAGCGTTGCAAGGAATCAAATTCACGCCTGTCTTAATATAAACAGCTGGCGCAAGCTGGCGACAGCTGAGTACAGCCAATGTTTCAACAAGTGTGAATGCGTCCATTTTTAATCGGGCACGTCAGTAATATCTGCCGTGTGGCAGCACGCCGGAGCTATCGGAGCCAGACCGTCGTTGAGACCCACTTATCCCGGGTCTGAACAGTCCGCAAAGGCCTTCAAATCGGAGGACTGGGCTTCGTTCGCCGGACGGTTGAATTGATTAGAGTAAGAAGAGACCGTCTGCCTATTCTTCGAACGGGTGGAGAAAGTCGAAAGATGTCAAAAAGAGGACGTACGTTATCTTGGCAACCTGCGATTGCCTTGGAAGGTCATGCTGCGCTGTTCCTGGGAAAACACAATGATGAACTCCGACACATTTCCAAAGGATGACTCAGTTGTCCAAATGATAGAGCAAGAGCCGGGGTCGCTTGCAAGTTCTTAGCAAGCCCCGACTTGGCAGACGGCCAGCCTGATGAACCAACATGAACAACGCAGGGTGGCACCACTTGCCAGACGTGAGTCTGGATTCCCGAACCGCCATGACGACTTTCGTTTGAACCCCTGTTCGCCCAATCTCCTGTCGGCGTTAGGGGTCTCGCGGTGTGGCTGACCAGGGGGTCAACCTTGGCCAACTCATCACCAACCAAGAACTCCTCCGAGCAAGGGAGCATGACGTCATGTTTCTCACGCCCCCGCCAAGAGTGTGATGGCATCGAATGAGGTCAATGACTGAAGCGCCTGCAAAACAATGGCCTTGGAATTTTGGCCTGCGCTGGCCTTGATGGTGTTTCTGTAGTTTTGGAAATAATTGACTATATCTGCATGAAGGGTCCCAGACTTCTGTCGGCTGCATCCGATCCCGTGTGTACCTACATTGATCACACAAGGATCATCCCCCGCAACCACCATCTGCGAGATCCAGCAATTGACGAACCACTGAAAGAAAAATGAGACGAACTACACAGACACTGCTAGCTTCGCTAGCTGCTTCATCAGCATTTGCACAGTCAGATCTATCATCAAAACGAGGTCTTGCATACAAGGGCGACGACCACGCATCAGACAACCAACTTCTGACTTCAGAGAAGTCATTGATCAGCTGGTACTACACTTGGTCAACATGGCCAGCCACCAACCTTAACAACTCAATTCCTTTTGTACCCCTCATCCACGGTGTCGATGAAGCGGAGGACTCGTCACTCACAACGAGACTCAACAACCTCCCCTCATCGTCCACCCACCTCCTCACCTTCAACGAGCCAGACGGCACTACCGGATCAGGCGGCAGTAGTATCGACCCCGAGGATGCCGCCAAAGCCTACATTGAGCATATCCTCCCGCTCCGCGACTCCGACTCCCGCAAGTGGAACATCAGCCACCCCGTCGTGACCGGTTCTCCGCACGGTCTCGAGTGGTTGCGCAAGTTCAACGAGTCGTGTTACGACATTGACGACAATGGCTGCCCGACCGACTTCATCGCCGTGCATTGGTACGGTGACTATGTCGGTCTTCAGAACTGGCTTGGGTCGCTGCGTGACTTCTACAACGAGACCTCCCCGGACTTGAAGTACTGGATCACCGAAATGGCGCTGCCGCAGCAAGACACCGATGCAACTTTTGCCATGATGAACCAGAGTCTGTCGTTCCTCGACGACGCTGACTACGTCGACGGTTACGCATGGTTTGGTGCCTTCCGCAAGGATGAAGCCAACGCGTGGACTGGCAACAAGGTTTCGCTCTTCGACGACGACGGTGGCCTCACCGAGCTTGGAGCATATTACTTGGGTGGAGATGAGCGAGGCTTTGAAGAGGGCCAGAAGGGCAACTTTGCTAGCTCTATGTCCCCGACAAGAATGCTTCTTTGGTCTGCAATCCTGGCCGCTGTGGCGACTATTTGGTAAAGCCGGCGGCTTGATCCATGACGGAGCAACAGCAACACGTACTATGCGAACACGACTTTGACGGACATGATTTACTTTTCTTGCATCTTCATGTGCCGGTTACATGGATGTTGAATTACGAAGACGAAGAATGATACCTACTAGAGTTTTCTTCCTGTTTCCGGATTATTGAGCGAGCATTATACCACAAAGATCAGCATCAAACCAATTGAGATCACACAACAGATAGTGCGTTCGTCTTTCATGATTTGACCTATGATATCCACTGGCGGACATTGCTGCCACACCCAAAGTCCGCCATCGTGGCTTTCTGTGCGTGGCTTTTACGCTCGCAATTGCTGTTCCGTGATTGGCTGTAGGGAGGATAATTTTGACTTCAACGGTCTCCGCCCGTCTACTACCGGGGTTAAGCAAGACAGGAAACTCGTATTCGGCTTCTGTAGAGCAACAGAAAATGAAGTCTAAACACAGCACGTAGGTTTCTGATATATAAATCCTTCAGTCTGTCTTTATGCAGAAACCACCAGTAGCACATACTCCATTTGGTGTCACCCTTCTCTCTACCATCTCGCACACATCCTTTACAAAATGCCACACAGCAATAGGTCATGGTCACCGGAAAAAGATATGAAATCTTTGAAGGGCAAGTCAATTCTCATCACTGGTGGCAGCAACGGCCTAGGAAGACAATCTGCTTTGGACCTGGCGAGACACCAACCCACGGAAATATGGCTTGCAGCCCGTAGTGCCTCAAGAGCCGAAGCCGTCATCGATGAAATCAAGCGGCTTGATCCTGCTGTTTCAGTCAAATTCCTTCCACTCGACTTGACTTCCTTCTCGTCCATTCGGGAGGCCGCTCGCATCTTCTTGGCGTCAACCACCCGTCTCGACATCCTCCTCTTGAATGCCGGCGTCATGAATGTGCCCGCTGGCAGTGTGACCAAAGAAGGGTACGAGATGCACTTCGGTATCAATCACGTCGGCCACGCCCTGTTCATCAAGCTCCTGACTCCCCTATTACGCCAGACTGCACAAAGCAGCGAGGTCCGAGTTGTCCTGATCAGCTCTGTGGCGCACAAGTTTGGTCCGTCGGGAGGACTGCAGTTCGAAAGCTTCAAGCCAAAGACAGGTAACAGCGGTCTATCTCCCAACGCTCTCTATGGCCAAAGCAAACTTGCGAACCTGTTGTTCGCACGCGAGATGGCCCGCCGATACCCCGAGTGGATGACTGTCTCGATCCATCCTGGAACCGTGAAGACGGATCTGCAACGTTCAGAGGGTGGGCCATTTCTGATCAAGGCGTTCCAGGCAGTTGTGGTTCCTCTGATTGGAGTAAGTGTAGAAGAAGGGGCGAAGAATCAGTTGTGGGCGGCCACCGCAGATGGCGTTCTGAATGGGGAGTACTATGTACCTGTTGGGATTCCAGGGAAAGGCAGCGGACTTTCAGAGGACGATGATCTCGCAAAAAGGTTGTGGGAATGGACGGAGGCGGAGATCAGAAGTATTGAGGCTTGAAGCGGCTGGGTATTCTGTAATATCCTCGCGGATGAGTAGTACGTACGCCTAATTATAGACAATGACCCTTGCGCCATACGCCTAAAGAGAACATGGAACGTTTTCGAAGATGTTCTGAAAACCATTACAAGAAATCAAGGCCAATGTCAAGGCTGTATGACGCCTTCGAAGAATTAGAAGAAGCAGACAGTTGTGAAGATGCTGAACTAGGCCACCCAAATCCAGATTGCCAAATTTTATCCTTCACGTTGAAGCGTCTTGTGAAAGACTCGAGACTGCCGTTGGAGCGCATGGACTTGCCGCTCATAATTAGATCATCGGCAACTCCATCTGGCAAGTGTACCTGGATGTCACGAACTCTGCAGTTTTCTGGCAGGATTGGCGGCACAAGTGTCCCGCTCTTGCACTTCTTTGGCGCTGTCGAGGCAGCATCACAGCCCCTGGGAAAGAGATCATCGTAGAAGTTGGCTTCTTCCAGCCGCATGACTTCCGAAGCAATTGCAGCGGCCAAAGGTGCGTCCCATATGCCCTCCTGATGTTCATCCGTGGCTAGTACGCCGATGGCCTGGCGCCTGATATAAGGGTTTCTACATTTCAGGGCAACAAAGTAGAGGGGAGGGATGATCCCCATATCAGCCGTGAAGTTGAAACCAGGATGAAGTCCGTATGCCATCTCTTCAACCATCATCGGCAGGGCAACGGTCAGTAATTCTTGAGAGAGTTTTATGATGGACTCAAATTGCCGGAGGTGTTTGTCATACATCGACTCATTTGCTGGCTGCAGAGTCGTATCAACAATGATCTGGGCCATGGTGTGGTAGATCGGGATGAGGTGATAGGCAACCTTTTCTTTGGATGACAGATTCGTCCACCAACTGCCTTTGACGCGATTGAAAGTCTGAAGCCAGAGTGTGAGGTCATTTTTCAACCGCTGCTGGGCACTAAGAAGCCCAAACGCGTGCGATACGTTGTCTTCCGGGGTTTGGCGCCGAGCTCGCTCTTGGAGTTCGTAGACGGCAGAGAGAATCGTGTCCAACTGCTGTCTCGCCCCGTCAAGTGAGACGAAAGACGTCAACACTGCGATATCCAGACGTGGCATCTGTGCCGAAAGCTTTGTGCTCTGTAGTGCGGCGGTCTTGACGAGCCTCGTTTGGACATCGAGGCGCAGGAGCGCTTCGACGAGGGCATCTGGTGCGGGGGAAGTCTCGGAATTGGTGTCCTTCGATGGACGTGGGAGTTGCTCAAGCAACTTGAGTCCGCTTCTGAGATGGGCATATCCAGTCTCAAAACGTCGCCGCACAAACTCTACGCAGACGAATAGAATGCAAGACGCGATGGCGACGCGGATAGACGTCGGACTTTGCGAAGACAAGTTCGTGTTCAACAAGGTGATGGACTTGTTGTAATGGCGCAGGATATTGCATTCTCGGACGCCTTGATCCAAAGGCTTGTATTCATCGGTCGTGTTGCCATTGAGCTCAATCTCATGCGCGGACGCTAGTGCCAGCATGGCGTGCAACACGGCCGGCTCGGTTGCGCCCATCTGCAGGACGAGACTGTGCCAAAAGCCGGAATGGAAAACCCCAGTCAATTTGATTGTGGTCCGCCTCATAAACCACTCAAACTGTCTCTTTTCAAAGTCTGACAGCTGGCTGATGGCTGCAGTATGGGTGTTGTAGATGGAGATCGATAGACCTGGTGCTGTGGATCTCGTTGGCCGGTTTCCCCGGTCCCAGATCCCGTACCCATCACAGGTTCTGCCAGTGAGGACACATTTTCGACACGCAGGCTTCGTTTCATCGCACTTGATCTTGCGACTTCTATTTTACATTAGTAATCTTGACCAACTGCTGCAGACAGGATGGCCAGGTAGGGTTTACCTGCAGGTTTTGCAACCCGTCTTTACTCGGACAATTGCCCGCGACTTGGGCTTCGATCCGCCCCGCATGCGGGTCTCGTCCACCATGACAAATCAGCGCTTTCTAGGATCTTGTACGAGATGCGGTATGTACGTGACTCAGAGATGAGTTGGAGTAGTACTCAACTAGGCCAAACACTTCGAAGCTGGTATGTTGAGAAGCAAGGTTCGAAGAGTGAATGGTGACAACCAGGTCTTCGTGGGACAAGCCGGAAGACACTTAATCGCATTCGGATTTAAGAAGCTTATTGGCGATTGGCCGGCTCGCAATTAAACAGAGGTGATTGGCTCGGGCTTTATGGAGAATACGACCGACCATGAGCGAGAAACAGGGGGTTCACCAATTAGACAATTAAAGCTCTCGGCCGGGCTATCGGCCGAGAGGCCTTTGGAAGCATTCAGCCACCTACCAAGTAACCCTCGGCACTGTCCCCGACTCAGACGCTACGGGCTTTACTTACTCGACAGGCTGTCGCCCACGCGGGGAAAGCAAAATGCTAGCGAGCATGCAAATTGTGAAAGTCTTGGGCCTGACCGCCGTAAATCCAGAACATTAATAATGCTGATGGGTCGGCACCGGCGACGTCACCTGTTGGGCCATGCCTGCAGCCAAGCCCAAGTCGCGTGCGCTTACAGTTGCCGAAAGACATCATCTGATGCTCACAGATCAGGAATATCGAAAGGCAAGACAATTTACTCTGAAGCTTCGTATCACTCCTGGCCATAACAAACTTCAACAAATGCCTTACGCCGTCAAGAGCACAGCTCCCATTGACAACATGATGAAAGCTGCCGTGGTCAAACAAGTAATAAGTTCCGAACTGCCCTCTACGATTGCCAAATTTTTATTTGCTGACCCTATTGTAAAGTTTGGTGTTCCGTGGTTGATAGAAGATGTTTCCGCTCCCACTGCCGAATCCCTCGATGACCATGATATCCTCATCAAAGTCGCGGTCGCATCGTTCTGCCATACTGACATAATGGTACTGAATGGCGTCTTCCACGACAAGCCGAGCGGCCTCCCAGGATCCCACGAGCCATCTGGCACGATCGTTGCCCTAGGCCGGGAGGCTGCCAAGAGCTTTGCCGTCGGTGACCGGATCATTGCCATTGGGATTCGGGGTCCCTGCGACAATTGCATGGACTGCAATGGTCCAGAGGAGTTCCAACTAAGCTGCAAGTTCAATAAGGGCTACGCTGGCATTTCTTCACCCGGAGCCTTTGCAGAATACACCGTGCTGGACGACCGCTTTGCAGTCAAAATACCGGATGAGTTGAGCTTCATCAAGGCGGCCCCGCTGACCTGTGCCGGATGCACTAGTTGGCGTGCTGTCAAAAGAGCGGCAGTCAGGCCAGGGGGTTGGCTGGGCATCGTCGGCAGTGGAGGTGGCCTCGGTCACCTCGCAATTCAGATTGCGAAGAAGCAGGGCATCAATGTTGTGGGCATTGAAGCAAGAGATGTTGCTCTGGAATTGACAACAAAAGCTGGTGCCTCGGCCGTGGATGTCAGACCTGGGAAAACCGTGATGGTGCAGCAAGTCCGGAGTCTGATAGGTTTACGGGGTGCCGGTAGAGGCGACGACTTGTGCGATGCAACAATCGTGCTTAGCGATGCCGAGCCGGCTCTTGAGACGGGCATGATCATTACGAAAGGGCACGGCCTAGTGGTTGAAGTGGCGCAGCCCAAACGAGTCAACTTTCCATTTGAAGAGATGATATTTAGAGACATCAGGATGATGGGGTCTAATCTCTCCAGTCGATCAGAGCTTGCTGATCTCGTGAGATTCGTTGTTGAACAGGACGTAGCCGTCGAGACCACTGTTTTCCACGGGCTACAGAGTTTGCGTCAAGTTTATGAGTTGTCAGAATCTGGAGCCTCGGCGGGAAAGGTCGTGGTCGTTATTGACGGTACCCAGGTTTAGGGTTCATCCCAATGTTTACTGCTATGCAGAAAGGATTAAAACCTCACCATGTAAATTCTACAAAAATTCCACGAGGCGCCATAAATGATTGCTCTTGATTCCATGCTGCTTTCAAAGGCCGTCATCAGTCGTGATGGGTATGTGCCACAGACATGTCTCATTGGTCGCGGATCACGATATCTACGCCACCATCATGTTCCGGGATATCGGGCGGAAAACCGGGAAAATGCTACGATGAATCAGAATCAACACTATCCCCAAACCGCACATATTGTAAAAGCCGTTACGCGGAATACAGAAATTGTAGACTCAAAAGAGACGAAGATTATTTTCTGGAGAGTGCTTCCATCATGCCCATGAGAGGTGCTACCGCAACTTCATCGTGGAACACCTGGGATCTTGTCTCAGATTGCACAGAGTCAATCATATCTCGCGCCCAAGTCTGCATTGTGGCGGCAACAGTTCCACGTGACTGCTCTGTAGGAGCTCTGGCAGAACACAGAAAGATTTCTAATATGGAGCAAGGTTGAGTCACACCGAGGAACTTGCTGAGCCGCTCGAATTGGGGATCATCCCGAACCCAATCGGCATGCCGAATCTGCCTCTTGTGGACTCTTACTGGGGAACACCGCCCACTTCACGAGGCAAAAAGACCTTACGCTTGCCATATACGCGAGCACTGGCCAAGCCTCGGCCGAACTATCGCTGCCGACTAATAAAATAACACTTTTTACAATACAGGCAAGACTTCCGATTGGCCAGGGCCACTTAGACTCTAGCGAGAACGAGCGTAACAGATCGCCAAGCCCACTACGACCTCCGCCTGTACGGTAAACACCGCTCGCCTAGGGCAAAGGTCGTTGTGCACAAAGCGTCATGAGCGGGCGCAGAGCTGTATACTCTAGTCGTCTTGATGTAAAGGTCGCTTGGAAATCTGAAACCATGCGCCCTCAGCACAGGGCAGGCTCCCCGATCCCCAACACGATCCCCATTCCGCATACGTATACTAAGTTGCTGTAGGCCTAGGCAATTAGTCAGATAGCGTAGATAGCTAAGACCGTGGCGTTCGTCTGGACCATTAAAAAGCTCGGGCGATTTCCCGATTTCCCACTGATTATTGAGCTGCTGTGAGACGCCCTCATTGACAACGATCACGAAAGCAACGAAGATGAACTCAACCGCATCGACGGAAAATCACGGAAAATCAGAAGTTCTACGACGAGCGTCGAATTCTAGCCCCAGCGACAATGAGGCAGTCAATGAGCCAAGCCCCGAAGCTGCCAAGTTGGCTCCGGGACGTAGAGCGGGTTCTGGCCCTGGAAGAAAGCCCAAGGCATGTAAGTACGCCTATCCAAAGATGCCGAGTGATGATGCTGATCATCACGTTAGGCCTCGAATGCAAGAAGTTGAAGATGAAATGCGAAATATTCCCTGGCGATAGAAAATGCAGGCATTGTCTTCGACGAAAGGTTGACTGCATCATCAAAAAGACATACATGGCTCAGGCCGACTCGGAGGATTCACGAGCTCAGAGCTCACCAAATTACGAGTGAGCTATCAAGGGAAAGCACCGTGTGCACTCCAATACTAACAACCCGAAGAGAAAAGATTGATGCGATGCGAGAGGAAATCCAGCAAATGAGGCATTCATTGGATGCTGTACTGGGCAGAGGACAACATCACAATTCCACTGAGAATCACCAACTCAGGAAACAACCAGAGGATATAGAGAAACCCGACAATCGGTATGCATTACATGTTGGGGCGATGCCGAACATTTCGAGTCCGCCCAAATCGTTGTCCGCGCGGGATGGCTCCGCGCGGGGAATAGGGGGCCGGGATGCCAACACGCGATTGGCCATGACCCGCGAGGATTCGCCCAACCCAGTTTCTGATGATGATCAACAGTACGGCCCTGAGACATTGGAAGAACCGATGGGTAGCCTCTACGAGGTGATGCGACTTAGGAATGTCCGAAGTAACCAAGCAAACACGCCGCAATCACTACCAGCCGACGATAGCAAGTTGGATGATTTCATATCCCGCGGAGCCATATCTGAAGAGAAGGCCGAGGAGTTGTACAACATGTAAGAAGTGTCCTGCCCTTCTTCCTCAGCGGCTATCCGGGATTACTTTTGCGGTCGCTACTAGAAGGCAACTCGCTGACCAATTTTCGTCGCAGCTTCCTCAAGACTCTGAATCACTACCTCTGGGTTGGCCTCGAACAGGTTCATCCATCATGGACATCGGTGCGCAAGTCGTCCGAACTGCTGGCAGCCACCATCCTGACAGTCACTGCGCTGCACATACCAACATCGTCTGACATCTTCGACGTCTGCTACAACGAATTCCTCTCGCTTGTGTCATCCTCCATGTTTTCTCGCTATCACTCGGTCGATGATGTCCGTGGCTTATGCATATCAGCGTTCTGGCTATCAGAGCACTCGTGGAAGCTGACAGGCCATGCTATACGTATTGCAACTGAGCTCGGCATCCACCAATCTTTTGTACACGCACTCGAGGGCGACAAGGAACACTTCCTGAGGGCAAGGCTCTGGTATATGCTTTACGTTTGCGACCGTCACTTTAGTATTGCTTATGGTCGACCTCCTACTGTCGCGGAAAGTTTACAATTACGGGAGTATGAACTGTTCCTAGCCAGCCCCTTCTCTGGTGTGCTCGACATCCGAATCCTGAGTCAAGTCAACCTGATGCAGATTCTGACCCGTGTTTACGAACGATTCTCTGAACGCCCTCTTCCGACCATCGATGGGGCTTGTGCAGCAAATGGGAAAGCGACAAAGGTCAATGAGCCAGCAGGAGTTAAAAGACCGCCGGAGATCTCTGCGGCAATGCTTGCCGAATCCGACTTTGACACCCTCCGAAGCTTCAACGTCGAAGTTGATCACTGGCGTATGCGATGGTACCCTCGACAACCACCCAGCGCCTTCATCGGACAATTTACAAACAAGGGTGTAATCCTCTACTCATACTTCGCCAAGCTTCAGATCAACTCCCTCGCGATCCGCGGTGTATCAATCAACTCCGACAAGTTGTCGACCGAGCGCAAAGAGTTCGCCAATATGGCGATCTCAGCTGCATCGAGCATCCTGACACTGGTTCAAGAAGAGGAGGACTTGAAGAGAGCCCTAGTCGGAACGCCTCTATACGTCCACACCATGATTGCCTTCGCAAGCGTCTTCCTGATGAAGGTTGCTGCTAAGTGGGGCAGCATAATGGGACTCAACATCGATTACGCCAATGCTTTACGGCTCCTGAACAAGATGATAGTTGTTCTAAAAGAGGCAGTGGCTTCCGAAAAGCACATGCTGAAGCATATCGGACAAGGACTAGAGAAGATGTTGCAACGCATGAGAACGGCTCGAGTGCGCCAGGATAACAGAAGAGAAGGCGCATGGGAGACTACTAACGCCGATGCTCGTCTGGAATCATGTGATTGGAGCCTTGGCTCTTCTTGTGTTGTTGATGCGGCTGGCCCCAACGGCCTACACATCAGGGATTCAGAACAAGATCTGTTCAGTCCACCCGGGCTCGGGGGTCGAGGTACAACACAGAGTTGGAATTCCGAATCGTTCCCTGAGCCGCGACAGGAATCAACCATAGCGCTCACAGATTTCGGTGATGATATTACTGGCATGAACGACACTCTGGTGTATCAAGCATTTGGGAATGGGTCAGCTAGTGATGTATACAACATGCTGTCTAGCCAGTTCTTATATTGATGTAAGATGCCGGCTGTGTCGAACGTAAGACATCAGGAGTGGAAAACACAGAACTCGGACAACAATATGGTTTCATTTAGTGAACATTACGAGAGGGAGGAACGTTCAACCTGAGAGGCTACTAGTCTATTGCGCCATGAAAAGCCATTGCAATGGGCCGCTACCACTGTGCTTAATGCTGTCGAAGTCGTGTACGGAGAGATAACGCCTGCATAAAATGACCACCGCCCTATTGCACTTGCTTATTAGGGTTGACTTGAAACTATGAAGAACACTGTGAACAAGTCAACTCAATCGTGAAGGGCGCTTTTCTAGTTGAATCATATCCGTGCAGGCGATGAGGGAATAGGACCCAGTTTTGCGGGGCAGCGCCGTGCGCAATCGACGATGGGCAGTGTACCAATCTCCGGCCGAACTTGGTCAACCAGCGCTCCTCATAGCCGTAACGGACCATCATGATATTGCAGGGAACGTTTTGTGGAATGGGATTTGATGACTCTTTCCTTGCGACGTTGACGTTTTGAAACCAAGTGTCTTGACTGACAACAAAATCATCCCCGGGGGCGTATGCCATTTGTCCAAAGGAAGCATTTGTTTTTAAACGTATCCCTTCGCTCATAGTGGCGACGTGTCTTCCGTTCGCAACATTAGTGACAAATAGGCGTTTTACTGAACCATAATCAGCCATTTCCTCTATGTTTACAAGTGATTTATCGAAGCTCTTCTGCTCAGAATTGACGGATCGTCCCGAGCCAGACTCAATATTCGACGGTTTACGATCGATCTGAAACGCCTTGATTGCCATCAAGGCACCGGACGAGTTGAACGCTAAAGAGTCAATAAATCTCACATCTAAAAGCGCAAAGCTGCGAGTCCAAATGATGGCACCGGTATTGCAATCCATGAGCCTTGCATTGTAGCCGTGTGAAACAGCCAGTTGCGCTCCGTCGGGACTGAATTTAAGCGTCATTGCAGATTTGCAACCCTTCGGATCCTGAAGTGCTTGTAGCCAACGGCAAGTGCAAGACGGAAAGTTCCATAAGGAAACGCTTTTCATATCTCCGTTGGTTATGGCAATAGACGAGCCACAAGGTGAGAAAAGCAACTGTCTCAAAGTACCATCTAAGCTTGAAGGCTCGTATTCATAGCTTACGGACTTCAATATAGCCGGATGGTGGGCTGAGCAATCGTAGACGACAAACCCGGCAGACGACGCAACCGCAAGAAAAGCACCATCTGAGCTCCAGGCAGTTGCAAATTCATCGTCTACCTTGGTTGGAACCACCCATGGTGTGTCAAGAATCGCAACTTCGGATCCCATTTCCTCGTTCTCGCTACCAACGTGCCACAATGTAACTTTGCCGCGCGATGATACGACAGCTAATCGCAGACCATCCGGGGACAGAGATTGTCGATTCATATCAACACTATCGTCAATGTCCGTGGTACAATTTGAAGCGTGCTTGACAAAGCCCAGGGCGTTGGTGTATATGATCTTTACTGCATTAAATTCTGCAATAAGGTGCTGTCCATCCGGGGAAAAGGAAACACATGTGCCATAGTCCAATGTGTGGACTAATTCTGGTGGATCTTTCAAAACATTCCATATTTTGAGATACGAATAGTCGCCAGTGTATGCTAAAAGACCATGCTGGTTAATTGTCGGCCTTTGGCAGTGGACTGAGCTGATTACACGTGGCGAAGAATGCGATGCTGAAGCGTTCGTTCCGTTCAAATCCCAAATGAAGGCCTCCATGACAACATCATCCCAGTCGGACCGTTCTCCTAGAGGCGAACCTGAACCAGCCGTTGCCAATAGAAGGCCTTCGTCGGACGCTGTGACCTCATAGAACATCTGTCCTTCTGGGGCTGAAAGACTTTGGATGAGCGCGCCTGACTCCGCATCGTGGACATGAATAGAATTTGACTGCTCGTTGTCGATTACAGTCAGGATCTTCCCGTTGTGCGTGAAATGAACTCGGCCCAGGTAATGAAGGTGAAGATTCGAGCGCGTTCTTTTCGTATCTCCCGCAGAGGGTTGCCAGCAGGTATACCAAGTGTGAATGATATCAAAGGTCTCGCTCATCAGATAAACGTTCCCATCGCTCAGTAAACACGAGACTTTGCCAGTTGTTGCTGCCGACACGGTAAGAACTTCAGAGAAACCGTTTCCAATGGAAAACGTGGTTTTTAGGCCCGCCACCCAATCCCACAGGAGGATGCCATCAAAACTGAGACCAATGATAAGCATGCCACGATTTGTGAAAGTGATACAATTGATGTGCCTCATGTCAGTATTCCTTTCCAACAAAACTCCAGAAGTCACATTCCAGATGTCAACCTCATCAAAGGTGACGACGGCAATGTATTGTCCGTCATGAGACCATACTACGTTTTGGACGGGTGACTTGTACTGGTGAATAGTTCGGCTCGTCACATCCCAGTTTTCGGCAACTTCGGGCATCTTGACGATCCAGCCTGGAATCTCGCATCGAAACTTTTGTTTAACCAACGAAGCCTTGGGTGCGAAGATCAAGGCGGACACATAAACTTGGTAGGGTGCGAGATTGATCGCGTGCTCGTTTTCGGCAAGGAAACGCCGGGCATCTCTCAGAAATAGCAAGGCTTCTGACTGTATGCTACTCCCTTGGCTGGAGAACATGTCTTCGAGAGTTAGCAAATCTCGGGGTGCCTGGTGAAGGAGATTCATCCAACTCATTGCTTCAAACCAATAGAGCAGATATCGTGTAAGGAACTCATGGGCATCCCGGACATGTATCCCACTACCAGACTCTCTGAGGTGCATGACCCAGTAGCGACATGCGTATTCGAGAGACCGAGGGATGTGTTGGTATATCCTTTCGCGAGGGATCTCGTCTCTTCGTACTCCCGGGTCATCCAGCCGGCAAAGGTCGTTTCTCAACCCAGAGCCGGATTGGTCGCCCATAACTTGCAAGCAGCAGGCGAAAAGGTCCTTGTGTGTAGACTTTTCGTCGACCCAGAAAGTTTGATCCGCGCTGGAGTGGGGCTGTAACAAATACTCTCGGAATGACAAATGGAAGAGCCTGACTGAGTGTTCCGGCTGGTCATCCTCAGGCACATCCAGGACGGAATGGAGGCTGTTCAATAGGTAGCGGATCTCGTCATTCTCGATACCCAAGAGCGCTCCAAGGGAAGTGATTGAGAGTGGATCCGCTAATAATATGATGGCGCCCACGACCTTGCGAAACCGCGCGAGTAGCTCCTTGCGTTCGAATTCTTCTAGATCCTCTGCCAGTTGATCCAGAATTGGCCTGTATGTGATTTCAATACCAGTCCGGAATCCTTCGCTTTGACGCAGGACCTTTTCTAACTGTGCTTGAGGCCTAAATCTTCGTCTTCTGTCGTCGATGAATTTACAAATGGTTGATGCGTAGATGAAAAGTGGAACAGAGGCTTTGACGAGCTGTGTCACCACATCGTCACCGGGCCAGTCTTGAGTAATTGCATGAGACACACGGATAGCCTCTAATTCACTTTCTATGAATGCCCGAATGTCGTGTTCGATGATGGGCTCGGGTATGTCGTGTAGTGCCACGTCTTGATGAGAACCGGTTGGCACATCTTCCAGGAACCCCAGCCGAATGGGAACCTCGGGTCGACTAGTCAAGAAGATTCTAGCATTGATGTTGCATACTGTAGCTAGTCTGGAAAGCATTTTGATGATTAGTCGGCTGCTTTCCAGACTCTCATCGACTTGTGAACGATGCTCGAAACCGCACTCGTCCAAAGCATCGACAACCAGAATTAGGGTAGGAAAGGTGACGCCGGATAGCTCGACACGGCTAAACGGCTCCAGTATCAGCTTGGAGAATTGAGCCTCCAGGGACTTGTCCGGCAAGTCCTGGTCTTCATTGATGGCTCTTAGGACAAGATTCTTGAGAGTTGGAACCCTTCCAGCGATTTGTCTTGCGACTGTGGTAACGAACAGTTTGGCCGTGTTACGGCCCTCTCGAGTTCTGTTGAAGAAGAAGCTTGCAGCAAGTTGACCTCTGTCGGCAAACATCTGTGCAACTGTCTTTGATATGGTGGATTTGCCAGTGCCCGCTGGGCCGCGCAACCAGAAGATGCACCTTCCGTCCGGGTCGTCCGCCCACTCCAAAACGTCGCGAAGGAGGTCTTTTCTTGTATCGTGATGACAAACTCGCGTTGACCCATTATCGTAAGAATCGAAAGCGGCGCCCGGGGCACTGGGAAGACTTTTGATGTCCTGTATGTCTTCACGCTGAAGCGCGAGATGCCTGGCTGGGTTAGAACTTCGCTCGAGCGCATGGTTACGACCTCACATACATGTGATCCACCTGTAAAGCTGCTAAGAAACAGTCCCTCCAGTGGCGTAAACTTTCAATGTTCTGAGACACTTCAGTGCTTGTGAACGGCCATTTGAGTGATTTTCCGATAATTCTCATCCGGCTGGGATTCTTGCCCGGGTCGAGTCTCTCTGTCAACTCGAATAGCATCTTCTCGCATCGTTCTACATCCTGATGAAACGTTTTAGAGGCGTTGAGCTGCCTTCTGTGGCTCTTTTCCGTGCTTTTATCCCCCAGAAGATCTTGGATCTGGCCAATAATCCGAGCAAGAGCATCGCTCTCCTCCTTGAGCTTTCGGATGTCCTCTTTCGCATTGCGTGCTTTGCTTATGTATTCGCCACAGACAATTCCGAGTTTGACGGAGAGATCAACGACGGCTATGACGTTTGCGAGGACGCCAACAGTCTCCATAGTTGTGGTTCAAGATTCACTGTGCCCGCTAGGAACCAGACTTTGTCTGTGCCCGGGAACAGAAGAGGGTAGTCGCAAAGAGCCTCGAACTGAACCAAAGATTGGCTTTCCCAGAAGATTCGATATCCTGTATGCTAAAATTAGCTGATGATGTAGCGTTTCAGCAGAAGACTGAAGAGGTTGCCATTCTGTGTGATGCCCGCCCGAGGTTGATGAGGGGAAAACGAGGGCATGGCGAAGAGGGGTTGGCAAGTCGTGCCCAATCAAGATCGATTAAGATGGACGTGAGATTTCGAACCCTCAGGCATTGTCACAGAACACTACCGCACATTTGATCTTACCCTCTGCTACGAGCCGCAGCCTGATTATGGTTGTCTGGTTACACTCAGGGACATCCACCAATGAGGGGAGGTTGCCAAGGAATCGCATTCCACGTGTCATACGGCCAGAACTCCCTTATAGAAGAAAAGGTCAGAGTTCTAAGAATGTCAAGATTGATGGATGTATTTTCTTCCAAATTAATATATATTGTGGTGTGGCTGGTATCAATGCTTCGTCTGACTACTCCGCTCTGCCGCTGTGCTTCGTCCCTTGCTATTCAAATCTCTAGGTGGTTGTATTGAGCCAAACTGATGCATGACGCCTCTGCCATCCCGTGATATCCAAAACTTAATCATGAAATAACGCCCAGTAAATGTGTTTTATCGCGAAACTCCGTCTCCTCTAATCATCGAAGAGTCACCAGCCAAGGACGTTGAACCAGCTCTTGCGGGGGTCTTCGACGGCGCCGTCAAAGACCTTTTGGCGGGCGGCTTCGCTCTGGGGGTCTCTGTACTTGGCGAAGAAGCGATCCATTTGTCGTGACTCGGTCATGAGTTGCGAGCGGACGTTCATGGCGATGGCAGAAACTGTGACAAACGCCGTTAGTAAGGTGCTTTGAAGTTGTTGACGTTGACTTGGAGACTCACCAATGCCGACGGTGATGGCAGCAGGCAGGAACCTGGCAACAGCCGGGGAGGTGGTGGGAATTCTGGTGGGTTGGTTGACCATTTTGAAGGTTGTTCAGTGGGTTGAGGTTGAGGTGTGGGTTGGTGGTGGTGTCTGTGTAAGACTGGAGAGAGATTGCCGAATGCTGTGTAATTGAAACACTGGAGATGTTTGCTTTTTGAGTGGTCGATGTGGACTGGAGTGCATCTAAGATCCGGTTCTCTAATCGCAGTCATGGTGGAAGCATTTATAAAATCTATCATACCTGCTTCTCCCGAGCGTGGTGTGGTTGGCTTCTTTGGGTTTTCGTGCGTTGTTCGTTGATAGTTCGAGGGTGGTGCGGTGTCCGGACGAGTCTGGTGGTGCGGTGGTGTGATTGCGTCCCGATGGCGCGGTCCAGTTATTGTCTTTCTGCGGGTGGCTCTTCAGCAGCTGTCAAATTTGGTCTTGGGGACGCCGAAACCCCTGTCTGTAAGGCTCCTTCGGGCCATATGGAGATAAGATCTGACCCTAACTCGTTTGCTCTCCGCACTATTCCCCGTTGGTTCGTCCTGTGTCGACAGCCTTGGAAGTGGAAGGATTTGGGGCAGATCGGAATCTTTGGGCCTGTATCTGGCCAGCGTGACTCTGTCGGTGGAACGATTTCTGCCCGGCTGGCGGCGACCCTGTTCGTAAGCCTGCGTCCTGATTCGTTGGGGTCCAGCGGCGCAGCATTTTGCAGCTTGGAAAGCGGCCTGTCCAGTCCCCCGGAGCAGATCAAATGGTACGTTGAGCAATTACGGTCGGCACGATGCATTGATGGATGGAATCATGGACTTCGCCGTGTATGAGTTGACTTGACCAGCGCGACGTCATGAGGACGAGTAGACGCTTCCGTCTCTTTCTCTTATCGTTTGCTTGCTTTGGAGTTTGCTGATGTTTCTGGTGTTTTCCGGAGCCGACAACTTGATTGCAAAATTTGCGGGCGTAGCTGATCAGTTGGTTCGGCGGACCCGATCAGGAGATTTCGGGCCTTGTCGGGCCTTGCTGGCCCCTTTGCGTTCACGTGCCTGCTGACAGTCCATCAAGCCCTTCGATTCAATCTATCACTGGGTGTTTTAGCCTTCGATGGTATCTTCGACATACTTGAATGCTTCATGTTGACAACTCGTCTTTTCTTACTTCATGTACATTATCCCCTCCTTACATCGGTCTCGGTCAGAATGAACTGCGATGCATTAGTACCGATGATCCACGCAATCACTGCCTCCGGTGGCTCCGATCTTCGCCAACGGCACTTGCCTGATTGAAACAATACAGACGCGTTTTCCAGAAATGGTTCACTGGGAACCTATTTCGCTTCTTCCGCCAAGCTGTAAGTGTTCTGCACATTGGATATCAGACGTTAGACCTTTCTCCAGCAATGGGGTTTGACGTGAAACTTGACAGCCACGCAGTGTTCATCCCATGCCAATCGCTTGAAGATTGTGGAACTTCCCCAGAAACAAGCGAGCTCCAGCACTATGGTTGAGCTAGAGCTTAAGGCTGCAACGTCCCGACAGCGCATTGTTACAGTGACGCCCGTGTCAACGGTGCACTGCATGTCTCATTCGCTACGAGAGCCAATTAACGCAACATAGTGCATTGAGTCTACCTAGGCAGCCGGTGCATCGTATGGAAACATTGGCTTTTGGCTAGTTACATCTCTGTCTCTCCATGTACTATCTTGCAGCAACAGTATGGTCAAATCATATTTGCATTTCGTGGATTGTGATTCAGCGGTAAATCTACAAATTTGGACATCTTGGAATAGAAGCTGCAAAGCCACCGAATGCAACCTTGACGTCGATGAAGGCTTTTGCCATTCAGGCAAGTAGTGGACAGTAACCGACCTGAGCAGAATACTGTGGGATGGAATTCGCTGTGGTTTCTCTTTTTTCTTTTTTCTGAATTGTAGTAACTATCTTTGCCCCAACTTGTCTTCTTGGATGCATTTAATGTCCCCATCGTTTTTATTGACAAGTGATACGCTGCTAATCACAACTTTGCAGCCGAGACACTATTGTTACACAACTTCCATGATCGCCCATCATATTTCGTAGCCTTTACGATTCGATCCGAGAAATCGCACTTTGCGATGTCCGAGCAGCAACTTCCTTGGCTCTAGGTTACGCACGCTCACAGACGAAGACTCGAATTGGCATGTAGGAATCACTCATAAGTATGTTTCTGATTAAAGTTATGTACAAGAATAGAAACTTTTTCGATATTTGAAGATGCTGATGGATGACGTATACATGTTTGCGTTGTAAACGTTGCAATCAGTTAGGAATTATGCGAATACGGGTGTGCGTTGAGCCAACAACTGCGATACCTCAACCTAGCCGGCCTGAACAGTGCCAGACCAACTTTGCTGCGTCAAGGCCGGGTGTGTTGTAGCAGGGCCAATTGTCCTCTTGCTGCACCCCTGCTTCACCGGAACCTTGTTGAAGCGATCAGCAAGCCAAGGCAGGTAGTCCACCTGGGCAGCCTGGAACGCAGGGTCGTGGTCAAGTTCAGGGTAAAGCAGCAACTCCGTAGCAGAGTCTGGGAAGCTCTTGCAGGTGGCATCCAAGTCCTCTTCCATGGTGTGAGAGTAAGTCAATGTGTCGTTGACACCTTGGACAACAAGCATTGGAGCAGCTAGTGCATGCGGTCCAACTCCGTTGTAGCGGTTCTGCCAGTCCACCACATCGGGGTGTGTGAGCCAGCTCGTGTTCTTGTACAATTGCTCCACGGTCAGCTGACCAAAGACAGTACCGCCAGTCGGGAGACAGCCTTTGTCTGAAATGGGAATTAGGCTTGCGACGATGTCACTGACGTAGTCTTCGACCTTGATGGAGCTGTACAGCTTGGAGACGGACTGAAGGCAGTAGACGGACACAACGTCGCCGACGGGTCCGCCTTTGGCGCGCTCGAATGACTCGGGGATGAGACTAAGAGGTCGTAGAGCTGGAGCAACCGAGACTGCGCCGAGGAAGCCGCCGCTTGCCTTGCCATCTTGGGCTTCACGCTCATTGGTGCGCCATGCCGTCAAACCGCCCTCGCTGTGTCCGATGACAGCCCACTCTTTGGAGAGACGTTCGCCAAGGGCAGCACGTGCGGCCTTGAGGGCATGAGAAACATCGCCAGCGTGAAGGGCCCCGGCCTCATACATGAAGCCTTGCGGGATATCACTACCGAGTCCTGCGTAGTCCGGGGCGATGACGGCATATCCCGCCTGGGCCAGTGGGAAGACGCCTTCCCACTCGTAATAGAGGGCCTTATGATTTGTAGGGGCGCATTGGCGCTGAACTCCTGCGGTGCCGTGTGCCCAAGCCAAGGTCCGGAAAGGCTTGTCATTTCCGAGCGGATTCGCCCACGGGAGGAGGGCAAACGCTGTTGCTGGAATAGGCTTGCCATCGACGTCCTCGCTCATGTAGAAAAAGCGAGAAAGGGACATTCCTGCGGGGATGGTCCAAATCTTGGAGGCCTGTGTCGCGGTAATGTCTTGCCATTTGACGAGGTCACCGACGGCGTAGTCCGAGAGGTTGGAAGGGTTGGAGTAAAAAGAGTCGAGTGTGACATCGACGTTCACCCAGTTGCTGGTATCGTAGACCAGTGATTTCCGGATGGCAGATTCGCAGTCTGCATCACAGACATCGCGGAAATCAGCGGATGCTGCACCTGCAAAGAGAAGAAGATAGCCTATCGAGGCCAACGCTTGGCTGGACGTGACCATGGTCGAGTTGGGACGAACTGACTACTGCACGAGAATGATGATGTGGTGATGTGCATGGCAAGAGCTCGGAAAGTCGAAGAAAGACAGGCTTACTTATACTTCATCGTGGCCATGGCTATCAGCTGAGTCCAAGGCTTTGTTGTTCCAATAACTCCACCACGATAGGAACGAAATATCAACAGATAGGGATGACCCAGTACCGATGCCACTGCCGACGTGATAGCCCCTCTCAACAAGGTTAAATATTCAGACCCTGCAGGACGATCCACGTTGAGTGCCGTTCCTCATTGAGGTCAAGCTGCAGCTGGTGTGGATATGTAATATCTGGAAGCGAACGAGACCTTGTGCAATAGCACTCGAGACCTGTGAGGCAAGCGACATTTCTGAGCACAACGGTCCTGTAGAGCATCTAGTTGCATACGACTTACAATTGGTGCAGAGTCCGCGCTCTATCGTTGGAACATTTATCACAAAAGAAAAAAAAAAAGCAATTGAAAAATAAAAGGAAAACAAGCAGAATAGGATTATTTCGATATCTCTAAGACTTGGCATTTGGCCACAGATAATCGTTGAAATGCTCGTGGCATATTGAATTACATCCGCTAACCCAATCCGGTAGGTCGAGCCGCGGCAAGGGGTTCGGTTGATCGTCGTAAGAGGCATGCGGGTGCGCGATGCAACCCCCCGCAGCGAGGTTTGCGGCGGCCGAGGTCTCCGTTGACAAACCAGTTTGAACAGGCGCTTGTTCACGTTAAGCATGTCTCGCTGCCGTGCGGGGAAAAGTCTGTTGACGAAGGTGCTGTCCAAGCGTAGAAGCCGGCCGAGGAACGGGAGGGGAGCGGGGCCGGGCGGGGTCCGCGTTGTTCACGATCACCAGAGGAGGTCTGGGATGGCGTGGTCGGATCTGTCGGGGCTTGTGGTGAGACAAGCAACAGTCGTTGGTTTTGTCTCGGATAAGCTTAACTGGATTTGGTGAATATACTTATATCCTGCTCTAGGTTCTAGGTAGTTTGTAACTCTCTTGGCGATGATCTCATAACATGACTGGTCATTACATGCAACTTATTGCGTCCCCGTTGAGGGACGCCTAATTTTCTAGGCCCACTGTGCAGACATCATAATCCGAACCTCAACGTTCAAATTTGCCGAGGCAAGAATGCCTCAATTGGATTTTTCTTCGGTTTCTTTTGTGGTTTCCGATTCCTTCCTAACTACTCTATATCAATATTCCATTCGTTTTCTTCGGTTTCGCGTTCGCCACAGCGGCTTCTACCAAGTCCGGTAACTCAAACGGAGCAGAAGATCAGACGGATAACATCAACCGTGTGAGCGATATAAGAGTCGACAGCTTTCTCCAAATGATCTGCAAAACTCACCTAACTACTCGACAAATACAACTTTTGAGCAACTATTGACGTTTGAACGCTCATCAATACTGACATAATCATCGTCATCAGCAGCGCCGGAATTATCAAAGCAACATGAAGTCGGTACGCGTAATCGGGCCGGGGTCAATCGGCTGGGTCGACATCCCCCAGCCCAAAGCTGGGCCAAACGACATCCTCCTGAAGATGAAGGCCTGCGGCATCTGCGGCTCCGACGCCTTTTTCGAGGCCGTGGGCGGTGTTCCGCCTCGCCAAAACTGCACACCTCTGGGCCACGAGCCTGCAGCCGAGGTAGTCGCCGTCGGGAAAGATATTGTCGGGCGCGATGTGGACGTCGGTGATCATGTTGTGATAGACACGATGGTTTTCACGGACGGATATCTCGGGTCTGGTGGTGCGCAGGGCGCGCTGAGCGAATATGTCGTCGTGAGGGATTACGAGCCCCGGAAACAGCTGCGCAAGATCCCCAGTCATATACCATGGCATGTTGCTGCGCTCAACGAGCCTATGGCGGTTGCACTGCGCGCTGTGAAGAAGACGAAGCCTGAGCCTGGTTGCAAAGTTGTTATTTTCGGTGCTGGTCCTATTGGTCTGGGTTCCATAATGGCCTACCGCAGGCAAGGTGCAGGTCACATTGTGGTGGTAGACATTGTGGACAACCGACTAGAGAAGGCAACGCAGCTCGGCGCGGATGCAGTTATCAACTCAACCACAGTTGGCGATTTAGCAGCAAAGCTGGTCGAATTGCATGGCAGTGGGACGTTTCCATGGAGTCAAGGAGTTCGCACAGGTACCGACATCTACCTCGATGCAGCCGGGGCGCCGCCCGTGCCGAAGCAGGTTGCTAGCATGGCAAAGTACGGGGCCACATTCTGTATTGTCGGTGTTCACAAGCAGCCGACCGAGCTACACTTTGGGGAGCTTGTCATGACTGAGATGACCATCGTTTTCAGTGTAGGGTATGTCAGATACGGATCACCCGGACTTATCAGTGGCTCGCTAACACTCCGAAACAGATATCCCGAAGAGATTTTTGAGGTCACAGACGACATCATCGAGAACTGGGAGAAGTATGCAGAGATTGTGAGCGACCAGGTTCCATTTGAAAAGGCAACGGAAGCGCTAGAGCTGGCCAAGACTGGCAAGGCAAATAAGGTTGTTGTAGTTTTTGACTAAGTGATTGGAAATGACCCCAATGCACCTTTAGGATGGATGGTGAACGCACTTGGTCAGTCGAAAAAATAAAGCATTGCATCCGCGAAGCTTAAAATTCTCCAGTCAAGTCATTGACAACTCATACATGTGCGCAAAAGATGTGATTGGTAACTAAGAGCTGGTTCTCATGCTAGCATGGCGTTAAGATAAGCGGCTAGATAACGCGTAGCGATCTGCGTCGACCTAGCAGCGGGGCTGACAGTCGCCTAAATCCTTCACAGCTCTAAATCACCTTCTTTTACTCTTCTCAGCTAGCTAGCTCAGCTGTGCCGCTGCGGTCTCAGCCCCAGCAAGACATCTCGGGCGTTGATGTTCAGTGACATCATGCACGTAAGACAAGGCAATCAAGAACTGCGCCTCGTGTATGCAAGTATCAGCATCCTCCGAGACAGTATCGTTAGGTTGGACGATCTTGTGTAGCGCGGCACAGTTTGATGCTGTTGCTTTTGGCTTGTATTTAGGGAACTGGTGTCCCACAAGACTAGCCTTCCTGTCAAAAGCTTCCTTCTCATAGTGTTCCTGTTGGTGCTACTCAACTCGGCAAGATGAAGTGTTGTACAGTTTTCAACTACAGCGTCGCCGCTTTTCTCGCGGGGAGCGTGGCCGCGACAAGCTCGAGGCTCAAGATTGATACTCATGTTCATTTTCTGCCCGACTTTTATAGGCAAGCACTGATGGACGCCGGACACAATCCAGGTCCTGACGGCATGCCGAGTATCCCGGTGAGTACCGCAGCCACCCGTCCAAGAAGTTGTCTAACACTCCCCAGGAATGGAGCCCAGAACGCCATATCCAGTTCATGGATGAAAACCACATTGCGAAGTCAATCCTGTCCATATCCAGCCCCGGCGTGTACCTCTCCCCACCTTCAAAGGCTGCAACCAAGAACGCGACAAAGCTCGCTCGCCAAGTCAACGACTACGCATCAGCGGTCAAGGCCAAGTACCCAGACCGCTTCGGGTTCTTCGCATCTCTCCCTCTTCCAGACATCACTGCATCATTGGAAGAGATTGAATATGTCTTTAAAGAGTTGAACCCCAAGCCGGATGGAATCGTTTTCATGTCCAATTTCTACGGCATGTACTTCGGCGACCCAGCACTCGACCCAGTCTTCAAGGCTCTGGACGAACTCAACGTCACTATCTTCGAGCACCCAACTACACCTTGCACCGAAGCCAATCATTTGACATACAACATTGACGGAGAAACCCCCGAGGTCACCCAAGCAGAGTGGCAGGCTCTGAACCGACCAGTCTCAACCCGCTTACCGAGGGCGCCGACCCTGGACTTCCCATTCGACACGGCTCGGACATTCCAAGACTTGTTCTACTCACAAGTGCCGAGGCGGTTCACCAAGATCAAGTGGATCTTGTCTCATGCCGGGGGTGGTCTCATCCCGACGATGGACAGGATAATCAGCTACAGCTTGCCGGAGCACAATCTGACAGAGGACGGGATGAAGGAGACGCTTGCGCGAAGTTTCTACTTTGACCTTGCGGGGCCGTGGCCGGTGACGGAGGCTATCACGCCTTTGATACGGTGGGTAAGCTACGAAAAGCTGTTGTTTGGTTCTGATACGCCGTTTACGCCGTGGGTCGTTGCAGCTGTTAGTGCTGTGAAGTTTGACAAGGGCATTGATGAGTTGTATGGGAATTCGGCTGAAGCGACGGCTGTGAGAAGGGGCAATGCCGAGACCTTATTTGGTTAAGAGCTTCTATAACTTGAGCGGATAACCTCTTGTATCTACTCGACTCGAGAGGAGCCAGGCCTATCTCACGTAAAACGCAACGAAGCATTTGACACATAGGGATCACCACAATTTTGGATGTAACTCAGCTCGTTGTATCTTTCAAAGCATCATATTCTCTAGTCACCTGAAATACTTTGCAATACAATGGAGGCTCACCGTCCAGAGGGAGCTATGTACATGTTTGGTGCCAAATCACTGAGGGTTCGGGGCAAGAGCCTCAAACTCCTTCACGCCAACGCCGCCAAACTGCCCATTACCCCCTGACGCAGTCAAAACCGCCCTCAGAGCCGTCGTACTAATCTGCGTAAAGCTCACAATTGAAGGGTTATCAGTGACTGCCGTAGGATACCCCGTGCTCGCGCTGACAGCAACCCAAGCATTGCTACTGCTCAAATACTCCAACCGCCAGCTCGCCGGCGGGGGCACGCCGATATTCGACCCCGCAGGCTGATCCGCGAAAAACACCATCCGCGCCCCGTTCAACGTCACAGCCGAGCTCCACGTCAAAACCAGCGTATTCGTCTGCGGCGAGGCATTCCCGTTGTACGAGCTCCAGTAGTCGGGCGGCAGCGGGTTGCTCGGGATCCAGCCATCGTTGAGGGACTTTGTCCAGTACTGGATCGGGGTCTGGTTCACCGAGCTCGCGACGGCGCGGGTGGCGATGTTACGGGTCGCGGGAGCGGCAGGCTGAGCGCGACGGGTTTGCACGACTTTGTTGATTGCCGGCGGGGAGGCGTTGTCGTTCCAGGTCATGTAGTCGAGCGCCACGCTGCGGCGGAAGTGGCCACCGCCAGTGGCGTCTCTGGTGTGATAGACGAGGTACCACTGCCCGTTCAGCTCGAAGGCGCCGGGGTGGGATGTGGTTGAGGATACGATGTCGAGCATCACGCCGCGGAACGTCCACGGGCCCAAGGGAGAGGATGCGGTGCCGTAGGCGATGCAGGCGTGGTAGGATGTGGGCGTACACGGCGAGTTAGTGCCGGCATTGTTTGCGGCGTATAGCATGTAGTAGGTCCCGCGTCGTTTGAGTAGCCAAGGAGCTTCGAAAAAGCCTGTGAGGCTGTTGACGGACACGGCTGACCCGATGGTGGTCACCATATCAGTCGCGAGTTCGATGCCGCGGAGTGCGCCGAATGTACCCCAGTAGAGATACACGCGGCCGGTATCATCAAGCAGGACCGTAGGATCGATGTTCTGGATGTTGTTCGCCTGCGGGATTGTCTGCGACACAATTGGTCCGCTTGGGTGCGCATCTGTGAAGGGGCCCCATGGGTTGCTAGACACGGCCACGCCAATGGCGAAGCGATCGGAGCTAGACGTCGACCGTTGGGTGACGGGCGCGTAGAGATAGAATCTCCCGTTCGGCCCTTGCACAACCTGCGCTGCGTAGGCCGTTCCAGCGGCAGCCCATGAGAAAATAGACTCGGGCCGGGCGATGTTGGAACGGAACTGCCATTGGGCGCCGGCCGGGTTTGGGTTGCTGCTGCTGAGCATCTGCCACTCGTTGATCACGAACGTGTTCTGGTTCGCCGGGGCCTGGTCCCGACCGCTAAGGATGTAGACGGTGTTGTTCACCACCAAAGGGGCCGGGTCGGCTGAGTAGTAGGATCCATCGGCGATGATGGGGTTGCCGGTGGATGTGATGGTTGTCTGGGCTACTACTAGCAACCCTTGGATGAGAAGGGTGGCGACAGAGGCAAGAGACCACATCGTGACAGGAGAGAAATTGAACGTCAAGACACAGGTGTGGACGCTTGGTCAATAGGAAACTGAAAGGCAGTTGGAGGTTGAACACAAGCTATATAGACCAATGGCAGTGGGTATCTGCAAAGTCCAAGTTGTTGCGTCGGTTCCACGTTTGAGTTCATGTGCAGCTATGTGCATGCAATCGCTTCTCCGCCAGGAAGGTGCTCAACTACCTCAACCCCGATTCGAACGCTAATACATTCTCGTCTACCTTCTGGTCTGCCTCAACAGTACGAAATACCGGCATAGATCGACGTCTTGACCAGAGATCATCCAACAAACCCGTGTGTCCGGGGTGGAGTTACTGCAGGCAAATGGAAGGCCCCCAAAGCCTCCGCCTCGGTACGCTTCCGGCGGAGCTGCAACTTCCGTCGATCACCTGCGTTTGGTGGCTTTGAAAATTCACCGTTGGAACGCGCAGGGTGTCTGGAAGCTCGGTTACTCCTGTTATTTAAAAGGCCAAAAAAACACCGCCAATGGAAGATTCGTGCTTTGTTGCGGCCAAGAACTTCTGATAGAAAAAATACGACAATACGAAAATTGCAACCGGGGACGGGTCCCGGGATCATGCAACTTTGGACTGGATCCCGAGTCACACCCTTTAGGTCGTCGCAGATCGACGAGCAAGGCGGCTTCTTTGGGTCAAAGATTGCGGTGATCACTTGTGCAGTTTTCCCGAAGCAGAAGATTATACGCATGCATTTGTTAGAGCAATATCAAGTTCCAACACTCCTTGAGCGTGAGAAACTTGGAACAGTGTTTCCAGCTTCGGGACCTCCGGCCGAAATCGCCCCACATCCCCGGCCGGTCCACCGGGCATTACAAAACATCAGAGGAGTGACATTCAAATGTCTGATCCAGCATGAGAAAGCGGCGAAATTTCAAAACAATTCCAAGAACACCTGGTGATTTGCCGCACTCCTCATGCAAGCTCGGACAGCATGCCGGTCACCCCCAGCGGAGCTCAACGGTGCGTCTCTCATTTCGGGATATGAAGGGGTACTCTGCCAAGAGCCAAGTCGACGCGAATTGGGAAGGTGACTTTGGTGCGTCTGCCGACACACGCCATACTCTAACCAGAACGAAGCGCTGTCTTCGTATTCATCCCAATTGGCGCGCCAAACCCCTTCCAATCGTGGCCCAAGCATTACCCAAATGCAACTTTCCTTTCGTCGGCAGTTGGGGAAAGCAGGGCGCTGCGAGGTGACGTTCCCTGCACATTGGCGTTCATCATGTGAGCCACGACTTTGGTTTTGGGAAACACAGGCCAAGCGTGTAAGCTTAAACGACTGCGGAGCTAGGAGGATTATTACCAGTGGCTTGGATGATGGGGGCGAATGTTTTAAGGTTATTCTGGAATTAATCCGGGACAGAGGAGAGACTGCAGACCCCAAACTAGGGCTCTTGTTAAAGCAGGGATATGTGGCCGTGGGCTCCGGCGGGATGCATGAGCACTGAGTTCATACTTCTCTGAACTCTCCATCACTTGTTGATACTACTGGTGGATGGTTCGTACGGAATCAAGGAACGCATAGAATAGCATCTTGTTGGTATGTCTTCTTGGTTCTCCTTTCACGGGTGGAAACTGCCAGTTGTGGTGGTGATCTCAATGGTACTTGATCGGGATCGTCTCCGAAGCTACTGAAACGATATCAATATGTGACTGGAACTGTGATATCAGTGGTATCATAACGTGATGGTCACAGGTGAGCCTTCCTTTAGGATCCTAGCCCCCACCCCTATCTCGGCGGATCCTGGTTTCCACCCCTTAATGGAGTCGAGATATCGACGAGGGTGTTATCGTACCGAACAAACAAACCGATTTCCACCAGTAGCCCTACTGATCGATCATTTGCGATCGTCCTGAGCCCGGCTATGCTGGGAAGCCATCGGATGAACGACTTTCAGTTGGGTTATACCACTGCGCCAAGTGCTCCGTAATTTGTTTTTGCCGTGTGTTTGAGTATGGCAGCAACAAATACTCAGTAACGGGACTACTCCGTTATGAGAGACGGCACCCGTTTAGAAGCTACCATCTTGTCGAAACATATAAAGCCTTTGATCCGCCAACATCGACGACTTAACAGCTCTCGATCACCATCTTCCACATCCCCATCTCCCTCTCCTCTCTCCCTCCAAACCGCCACAATGACAAAGCTCACCTCCCTCAGCCTCGCGGCCCTCCTCCTCTACGGAGCCCACGCCTTCCCAGCCCCATCCCAGCCCATCTGCCGCGGCATCGACCTCGACACCACAACCGCTAACCCCTCCATCACCCTCACAGACCGCTCCTCCCGCACCCTCGCCGCCCGCGCCCCGCCGGCCTCCTTCACCGCCAACCCCGCCATCGGGCCCGGCGGCTCTTCCTACCGCGACTCCGCCCACTTCCGCGTCTACGCCGCGGACCTCTCCGCCGCTGACCGCGCCCTCTCCATGCTCGAGGGCGTCTACGCCTGCTTCGTGACCACCCTCGGCTGGCGCTCCACCGGCCTCTCCTACAACGACGCCACCGACGACGACGGGCCGTGGCAGAAGGTCAACGTCTACAGCGTCGCCTCGCTCCCCGGCGCCGCCGGGGTGATGCACTCCGACGGCGCGGCGGGGATGGCCTGGCTCGAGGTGCAGAACGCGTATTTGACAGTCCCCGGCGTGACGGTGCACGAGTTCGGGCACGGGCTGCACTACCACCAGAAGACGTGGGTGAATCAGGGGAGGACCGGGGCGTGGTGGGAGACGCTCGCGAACTGGGTTGCGGACACGTACCTCACCTCCCCGCTGTGCGCGAGCGCGAGAAGCGCGGCGGGGCAAGCGACGCCCGCGACGAGCGAGATCGATGTGGTCAAGACTATTGGGGACAGTTTCCAGGTCATCGTGGACGGGAGCGTGAACACGGGGAATTACTACCAGGCGTGGCCGTTCCTGACGTACCTGACGAACAACCCCGATGGCTTCGCCGGCTTGGGGAGCGATGTGGTGAGGCAGCTGCAGGTGCGGTACGCGGCCAACTCGAACGAGACGCCGCTGCACACGCTGCAGCGGGTGAGCACGGGGGCGACGGTTGCGAGGGTTGTGGGGAAGTACTGGGCGCGGATGGCGTACGTTGATATTGGGCACCGCCAGGCGCAGAGCGTGTTTCTGAGCCAGCGGAGCAGGATCAACTATGCCAACGTGGACTCGACGGGCAGCGGGAGTTACAGGGTGAAGGCGGCGCGGCAGCCGAGGTACATGGGGGCGAACATCATCCCGCTGAAGAACCCGTCTGGTACTGTGACTGTGAGGATCACGACGAACGGGCAGTTGACGTCGCACCTGGCGGTGAGGAACACGGGCAGCGGCGCGGTGCGGTACGTTGAGCTCAGCGGTGGGCAGAGCAGTGTGAGTGTTGCCAGCGGCGAGGAAGCGAGCTTGGTTGTGGCGAACACGCCGGCCAACTTGGTGCTGTATGATCCGTTCTCGTTGTCTTCGGAGGTTAACACGGGTGTGGACTACTCCTTTACCCTGTCGGGTGCAACCGCCTAGATGTTGGCGACTGTGGGTTGACGGTGTTGGGTACTGAAGGGGAGTTGCAGTTGTTGTTCCTTTCTTTGTACAAAGTTGTTTTGCTTGCGCCTTGTACATATGACATTGAAGTACTCTCAATCCGAATATTACTTTGGGACATTTCATTCCTGAGCATAGTGTGATTGCGGATATCACTAATCATGATCCTGCCAGTCATAGTGTAACTGTTGTTTTCGTACAAAACTAGATGATGTTCATATTAACTACTCGAGTGCTCGGAATTACTATTCATGTGTTGTGCTCCGATTTGAAATACACAGTTCGATCAAAGCGTTACGCATCTCATTCCTTCTTTTCCACCGTGCTTCCGACCTCCTTGGGCTCTGGTCCAGGCTGAACACCACTTTCGTCCTTGGGCTTTTCGGTATCGACAGTCGTCTCTTCAACCTTCGCCTCTTCAGCCTTTGACTCTTCAACCTTTGACTCCCCAGACTTCGGCTCTACAGCGTCATCGGCCTTAGGAGCTTCATCAGCCTGGGGCGCTTCGCCAGTCTTATCCGCCGCTTCTTGAGCATCCTGCGCCTGTGATGGCGTGCCACGTCTCCAAATGTTCACACTCGGCATTGAAACCTGCCCAAGTGAGGACACCGATGCTGGTACCTTTGGCATTGACGGCATGCCGGGCATACCTGGCATCCCCGGCATACTGGGCATGTTTGGCATCTTGCTCGGCAACCACCCCCTAACACCGGTGCCAGATTGTTGGGCAACTTGGAACAGATGCTGCATGTACGTGCGCTTCTGCTCGGTGTCGACATTCTCCGGGCTCGCGTCGCCGACGAGATCTCCATCCCCGTCCTCCGGCAGAGGAACAACCGACGCAGCGGCGGCGATGTCGATGGGCGACTCGTCCGGAAGCTCGTCGGTAGACTTGGACTCCTCCTTCTCATCGAGCTTGTCATCCGACTTCTCGGCTTCCTCGTTCGACTTTGCCTTTTCCAGCGTCTCTTCAACCTCGTGGTCCTCCTGGGCCTCTTCCGGCGGCGGCTCGCGGAACTTGGGGTCGTCGACGACGCGCTCCTCGCTATTGAACCATTTGATGACCAAGTCTGCGGCCTTGTCCGTCATTTTCTCGTAGTCCTCGTTCTTCTCTGGGTCAAAGAGGCTCATGTGGGCTTGCACCTCATCGTCGACCTTGCGCAGCACCTGGCGCGAGAAGAGAGGATACGCGGCGTGGCTCTCTTCAGGCACGGCGCAAAACGTCCTCTCAGGGACGAAGTAGCCTCCCTGCCAGTACCCATTCTCACCCAGGGAAGCGTAAAAGTCGTGAATCCCAACGCCCTTCAGAGCGCCCATGCGTTCCAGCCGTCGGTTGAGTTCCTTCTGCTTCAAAAGTGCACCGACAAAGGTGAAGTGGTCAGACAACCACGCGAACGAGCGGCCAACGTTCCCGCGGTTGATGTACGCCAGACCCTGCCCCAGCGCATCAATACTCTGGCGGTAGCCCTCCTTGACGGACTCCTTGTTGAGGTTCTTGAGCCCGTTCATGATGGCCTCGCGGTTAACATACGCAGCCACACCGCCGGCCGCAATCGCGCCGACCGTCCCAGTCCGCACGGCGACGAGCTGCCACGTCTTCCAGCCGGGGTTGCGCGCGGTCGAGGCGACGGCGGAGGTGGCGGCGCGCCGGGTCCCGAGGCGGGCGAGGCTCGCGGGCGCGGCGGCGGAGAGGGCGGTCATGACATTGAAGACGCTGCTGACCTTCTGGTAGTTTGAGAAGGCGCCGTAGACGAACATGGAGCGGGCGAGGCCGTTGTAGGGGGTGTCGAAGGTGAGGATGCCCTGGATCGGGGGGAAGATGGGGTCGTCCTCGGAAGGGTTGGCGTGGGCGCGCTCGTTGATGGCGAGGAAGAGTGCGTCTGCGGCGACGAAGCCTCTGTCTTGTGTTAGTGTTTGGGTGGGTGTGAAGGAGTCGTGGTGGATGCTTGCCCCATAGAGTGAGCGACGAGGATGACGCCGACTTCTCTGTCTTTTGGTGGCCATGGCTTCTCGACGGTGGATTTCCTCACTTCCATCACCTGTTCTTTGAGCCTGGAGATGTGTTAGTGTGAAAATGCTCGTTACGGGTGAGTTGGAGTGAGATACCATGCCAGGAAAGCCTCGGTGGCTTCAGCCAGCTCGCCCTTGGTCTCATACTTGGGGTAGACGATGGACTCGACGCGGTGGTCCGGCAGTTGCTTGGTGACTACCCGTTTGAGGTCCTGCAGGAAGGTGAGCGGGTGCCCACGGGACCTCTTGGCGATTGCTTCACTTACATCAGGGAATTCGCGAAAGGTGTCATCGTTGCCCTGTCGCAGTGGTTAGATTGGTGTTGCATGCACCGGACAGGGGGCCTCTCACCTTGAAGCCGTGGATGAAGCACAGCAGCAGTGTGCGTGACATGATGAGTGAGATTACTAACAACGGTCTGGAGAAGCAACAAGGTACAGACAGAATGGAATAATTATTCGAGTAAAATGGATAATAGGATCTTAGGATGTTCCTAGGAAGGGTATCATAGGGGTTTGTTGTAGTGGTGAGAGGGACGAAGTTGAGCCCGTGCAAAGACTGACGAAAGAATATGCCGCAACACCACCACCTTCATCTCCTCCTCTTCCTTCACTTTCTCAAGCAGTGACGACCTATTGACCGAGCACACTCATCGCCTTCCCCATGTTCCAGGCTTTCCCCCAGCCCAGCCACACCTTCTGAGCGGCGTTCCAGGCCTCTGCTTCGCTGGTGCGTGGCGAGTGCGTCCCAAGACGAAGCCTGCAGCCAATGGCACGGCGGCCAAGACGTCACCGATAACGTCATTGCGATGTTTTCCGCGCACCTCCAAAACACCAAACATCCCAGCGCACTTCTTCCTCCTCTTCACACTACTTCACACTACTGCACCTTGAGCCGACGCGACCCTCTTGGATGTCAGACCCCTGGCCTGTCAATTGTCAAAACACACACACCATCGATCTGATCTTCGCTTCCTCTCCAATCTTCTACACGTTGCGGCACGTCACATGCAAACTTAAATAGACGAGCTGCCGATGCATCGAACTGAGGCTTCGAGGCCGGGGTCGTGGTCGTGGTCGGGGTTGGATTGGGTGGCCTCCCACCACGTGCGATCCAAGATCTGACGATCGAGTGCATCTGAAGGATTTCCAAGGATTTGCTCATTTTTTTATCATTGACTCTATCATTCCCAGTAATCTGGTTTCTCCTGTTCTGCTGCCCGGTCATCCTGGACAATCACCCAACCCACACAGCCATCTGCCTCCCCATCACGCCTTGGCCTTGATCTTGCCAAACGACAGCTTCGGGTCAAACTTGGAAATGTCCGTCTCGTTCGCCGCGGCCCCAAAGTCCCAGACGGTGTAAAAGTTGCGCAGGAACGGCGTGCCAATCAGCGTGAACCCGCTCGTCTCGCCGCCCTCGAACGGCGGCCAGCACGCGTCCTCGCGGTTCGCGAAGCCGGGCCGCTTCAGCTGCTCGCCCGTGATCTCGACGACCTGCGGAGCGCGGTAGTCGCCGAAGCTGAACTTGAAGGACCACGACGAGTTGAACTCGCTGCAGAGCGGAATGTGCTCGCCGTTGAGGATCGCCGTGTAGTTCATCCCGATAGACTCATACACCTTGAGGTTCTGCGCCTCGGGCAGCGTGATGGAGCCCGCGCCCGTGTCGAAGACGACCCTGCCAATGTCAAAGTCCACCGCGGTCTCGGTGACGCTGCCGTTGGTGGTGGTGCGCGTGCCGTTGACCGCGAGCATGGTCGAGCGCCACACATCGTAGAAGCCGGGGATGACGCGCGTGATGGGGATGGTGGTGAGGTCGCCCTCTACAAAATCGGCCTCGCGCGAGCCGCCGAGGGTGAGCACGCCGTCGCCGGGCACGCCGCCGGTGTTGGAGAACTCGGTGCCGTAGTAAATGCCGAACTTGGCGGCGTCGAGGCGCCCTTCGGCCATGAGGGTCTCCATGACGGTGTTGGCGCCACCGTCGATGATGGAGCTGAAGCCGAGGCCCATGAAGCCGTCGGCGGCGAGGGCGGCCCAGTTGGACTCGTTGGCGGCGATGAAGGCCTGGTCCCAGGTGACGCCGCCGGCAGACCACACCTCGTCGACGGCGGGGCCCGCGACGCGCCCGCCGAGGTACGGGATGTCGGCCGAGTTGCCCGTGAGGTTGCCGGTGCTGGAGGCGGCGATGTCGTAGCCGGTGCGGTTGTACCCGCTCACGTTGGCGCACTCGGTCTTGCAGGTGCTGTCGACGGCCCAGGACGACGAGCTGCCGGTGTCGAAGAGGAGGCGGTACGTCCTGGCGGGCGTGCCGATGTTGAACTCGACCGTTTTCTGCCATTCTTCAGTATTCAGTCGTCGGTACTAGTTTCGATATTAACTCACGTAGCCGTTGTCCACGATGATGGGCAATTCCATCACAGCGGCCGTCGCGACGGACGCGACCGCTGCCGCCGAGAAGAAACGAGTGACGGGCGACATTTTTGCAGTATTAGCACAAGCAAACAGGTCAAAAGTATTGAGAACCAACAACTCGGGCTGGATGAAGAAAGCCCCAAGACAGATCTCCCACCGGCCCGGGACGACCACCTTAAATTCCTTCCAGAACCCAAGCTTCCTGCGCCCCCTCGCTCGCATCGTGATGATCACCTCGTAAAAGGGGAGCGGGCTGTGGGGCGAGGTAATCTCGACTGAGCTGGGATGCTTGAGCCGGCCAACCCGTGTCGACGGAGCAGTCCTGGGGTCCTGGCTTGTGCATACGGGAATGCTCGGTTACCCGGTTAAGCTTCTATTTTCAGACGCAACTTTCAGGCGCCGTCTCCAAGTTTTTGTCACTTGCTTCATTTACCTTTCGCCTCCCGTGAAAGGCAGGTGGTTTGGCATGGCGCCATTTCTCCCAAGCTGGAGACGGCGTGGAGTTAGTGCGAGAGAACACGAAGTTGGCTGGAAAGACACAGCATTTAAGGAACTAATTCTGCGATCGGGAGGACGGACTGTTCAGCCCTACCAACCGGTTGTGGCTGCGTCGGGATGGCTCCGTGGCTGCGTTGATGCCCTCCCCATTTAGCGGAGATTTAAATAGGGAGAAAACCATAAGTGCAGGTTTGACTCGCGTTCGGCGCTGCGGTTCGTCTCATGTCGATTGACGATGGGAACGGCGAGATCAAGCAATCCCGGGGATGCTTTGGTTGATTGAACACCCCATCTCATTGCCTGACTCTGTTGTGCCCTTTGTGCCCTTTCTTATTCCCGTCTCGGGCGAGTCTTCGGACTTGATTCACACAAAATCATCACCGCTGACAAAGCGGCATCACATGTAAAGTCTACACAGCAAAGACTTTCACCGCAATGGATTGTTCAACTCTTCATTAATATTTACAACTCGTCTACAGCGTCTTGATGGTAACCACACCATCGCTCAACCCCGCCCCCGACGCCGTAACCACAACCTCCCCCGTCGCCCCCTCGTCAAACTTGACAATCGCCAGCGCCAACCCGCTGAACGCCTTGCGCGTGAGCGACGGGAACGCAACCAGATCCGCCGGGTCGCCGTTGTCCGTCGCGACAATCTGCCCCGGCCCGCTGATGCTGAACGTGATCTCGTCCTCGGCGAAGCGCACCAGGTCCCCCTCGGCATCCCGCACTTCCACCGTGACGAAGGACAGATCGGCCCCGTCGGAAGCGATGGCCGACCGGTCCGCCGATGCGGCAAGCTGTGTCGCCGCTCCGACTGTGCGCACGACGGATGTCGCCCACTCCGCGCCGTCTTTGTAGGTCACCACTTTGATCTCGCCGGGCGCGTAGAGCACGTCGTCCCAGCGGAAGCGGTACTCTCCCTCCGCGCGGGTGAGTTTTCCCTGGGACTCCCCGTTGAGGAAGAGCTCGGCGGTGTCCGCGGAGGTGAAGACGTGCACCGGCGTGACCTCGCCGAGGCGGTCGGGCCAGTTCCAGTGCGGGAGGACGTGTGCGAACTTGAGGTCTGGCCGCCAGCGCGCCTGGTACAGGAAGAAGCGGTCCTTCCTGAACCCAGCCAGGTCAATGATGCCAGAGTACGAGCTGCGCGCGGTGTAGTACGGCGTCGGCTCGCCGAGGTAGTCCCACCCCGTCCACACGAACTCGCCCGCCACAAACGGGTGCGCGTCCTGCGCGGCAAACACCTTGTCCGGCGCGGCGCCGAAGTTGGCCGAGTACAGCTCGTACCCGCTCACGCGCAAGGTCGTCGAATTCCCGCCCGACGTGTCGTTGACGGGGGCGCCCCCAGAGTCCGCGACGGGGAAGATGTAGCTCCCGCGCGTGGAGAGCGCCGACGCCGTCTCGGAGGAGAGGATCATCTTGTCGGGGAAGGCGGCGTGGAAGTCCGCGTAGAGCGGGTGCGTGCGGACGCCCGGGAGGTACGAGTACGCGGGCGTGTCGCGGATGCCCTCGCCCTGGTAGTTGAGGCTGAGCACGTCCATGGCGGTCGGGAAGGACATGTTTGGCTTGGCGAAGTTCATGCTGGCCGTCGAGGGGCGGGTGGGGTCTTCGTCGTTGACCATGGCGTGAAGCTCGAGGGCCGGGACGGTGCCCGGGTCGCCGATTTGTTGCTCGGATACCTCGTTGCCGAAGGACCACATGACGACGGAGGGGTGGTTGCGGTCGCGGCGCATCATGGCGCGCAGGTCGGCCTCGTGCCAATCCTGGAAAATGAGGTGGAAGTCGTTGGCGGTCTTGTTGCGGTACCACGAGTCGAAGACCTCGTCCATGACGACAAAGCCCATGGCGTCGGTGAGCTCGAGGAGTTCGGGCGCGGGCGGGTTGTGCGACATGCGGATGGCGTTGCAGCCGAGCTCGGCGAGAATGTCGAGCTGGCGCTGGGCGGCGCGGGTGTTGAAGGCGGCGCCGAGGGCGCCGAGGTCGTGGTGGTTGTTTACGCCCTGGAGGCGGACGTGGGCGCCGTTGACGAGGAGGCCGGCGTCGGCGGAGTAGGTCACGGAGCGGATGCCGAAGCGCGTGGTGTAGGTGTCTGCGGTTTGGCCGTTGACGGTGACGGTTGTGACGGCGATGTAGCGGTGCGGCTGCTGGGACGGCGGAGGGCCCCAGAGGAGGGGGGTCGTCACGGTGGTGGATGATGAGGCAGAGGATTTGCTGCCGGCGGGAACGGTGAGGGAGGAGGCTTCGAAGGATGAGACCTTGTCGCCAGCCTCGCCCGCGGCGGTGAGGGTGTACACCTCGGTGGCGACCTGGATCTCCTGCTCCGCGGAGCCCGTGTTCTCGACTTCAACAACGAGATCGAGCGTTGCGGAGGAAGAAGACACGTCCTTGGTGGTGATGTACGTGCCCCATTGGCTAACGGCCACGGGGCTAACCTTGGTGAGCCAGACGTTGCGGTAGATGCCGCCGCCGGGGTACCAGCGCGCCGAGTCGGGCGGGTTGTCGAGGCGGATGGCGAGGACGTTGTCATCGCCCTGCGTCAGGTGCGGTGTGAGATCGAGGCGAAACGAGTTGTACGGGTACGGCCAGCCGCCGACGAGGTGGCCGTTCAGCCAGACCATCGCGTACGACATGGCGCCGTCGACGTCGAGGTAGATCGACTTGCCCGCGTCCTCGGGGCTCAGCGTGAGACTGCGCCGATACCAGCCCACGCCGTGGACGGGCAGCCGGCCCATGCCGCCGCCGATGATGGGGTCCTCCTCGGTGTAGAACGGGCCCTTGATGGCCCAGTCGTGCGGGAGGTCCACCGTCTCCCACGCGCCGTCGTCGAAGCCCGCAGACGCGTAGGACACATTGCGGGTAGGTTCGTCGGCGGGGCGCTCGTAGTGCTTCTCGGCGTCGTTGATGAAGGTGTTGGCCGAAGGCAGGATCCAGTCCTTCAGCACGTAGATGTCGGTGAGGTTCTCGAGGTCCGGGCGGATGTCGTAGGCGATGCCGTCCGGGTTGAACTCGGAGCGCCAGAAGCGCCAGCCCTTGTTGATGCTGACGCGCTCGCGGCCGGCGGAGATGGTGGAGTTGTCCTGGCGCCTGATGCTCAGCGCCGCGGCAGGGCGGGAGAGCAGCAGGACGAGGAGGCTCAGGAGGAGCAGCCCGTAGGCGTGTGGCCGGGGGGAAGACATCTTGCAAGAGGCCGATGCCGGGTTGGGGTGGTAGAGGTGGCCATCATTGGTGACAGAACGCCTTAAGGCGCGGTCTTATATGTCAACCACATCTTAGCCATAGATGGATCCCGCCGGCTCGTCTCCATTGACGTAAACGCAGGTATGTAATGCCGTCGGATTCTTCCAGAAATCCGGCATCATCACCCCGAGAAAACAAGTGATTTACGCAGCAGCACCTCGGCTTTTCGATGCCCTTGTTGATGGGGTAATTTCGGGTGAAAAGCATCCCAGGCCCTCCGCACCCCGCGTTTCTCCGCACGGCAGCTGCTACGGTACAGGGATGCCGCCGGCAGCTATTTAGCCTGAATGTCACGCTCAATCTCGCGATTGGGCCGCGTGAGCCCGCTGAGGGGGCTTTTTTCTTGGAGATTGGATGATCTGTAGGTCAAAGTCTGTTTAAAGAGGGCTTTGCAGAGTTGGAGAAGCGGGGGAAGAAAGGGGCTGGGGGCGTACGCAGTTGAATGCCCACATCACGAGTGATGCCAGAGTGAGAAAGCGATGGCGAGCTTGCCTGGGGAAACCTTCTGCGAACGCTTTCTTTCATTGCAGCTTGCGTGGTCAAAATCGCGTCATTCGGTGCGGTGTTGACAAGCGTTCGAGACGTCTTGACTTATGTGGCTACTGGGAAAACTGTCGTGATACAGCAAAGCAGGCATGGTTTCCTCCCTCATGACAAGCACTAGTGTGGAGGTCGTAATCGGTTTACGGGTTTTCCTTTAGTGACCGCCAGAGTCGCCCCTGAAAGGAGAAGACCTTCACGGGGGCGTCATCGTCAATGACGGACTGCTTTACTTCGACTTCATTTATCTGTAACGGAATGAATACGGCTTAGGTTAATGACAGTCATCAGAAGGGAGGGCCTATGCGTAGCTCCGTGCATCTATAGTCGACGGGACAGACTCAGCATTCCATAGTCGGGCGAATCACCAAGATGGCATTTAGAGCTTCTTGGGAATTACCACTTTCTACTTCGGGCCTACGATACCCCCTATTCACGGCTATGTACGAGTACTAGGTAATTTCTAAAGATCATCAAGCCATACAGTACTCGCCACTAGTGAAGTCCACGCCCACGAGTGGGTGGTAGACAAACTCGTCACACTCAGTGTCGTAGCCGAGTACATAAAATATGTACCAATCGTTCTGAGCATACATAAATCGACCATTGGGGACATGAGGGGGCGGCCGTCCGTTTTCCTCATTATGCATCCACATAACCTTCGGCGGGGAATCACTTACGATCCAAGGAAGCCGAGTTCGCCTTTCGAGCTGGAACTCAGGACTTACGTGGACAAAATAATCATCCTCTATGCCACGCGGTCTGGAAATTAACTGAGGTAAGTTGACGTTGACTTGGACGTCGCGACTTCTCAGCATAGGCATGATACCTGATAGACCCTGCAGTATCTGTGTTTCGGAGACATCTTCCCAGCAGAATTCTGTGTCGTGGTCAAGCCACAGACCAACCCGGAGCAACGAGTCCATTTTCGCAAGGCTGGGCCAGATTCGCATCCACTGCTCGTGCTCTCTTTGGCGGCCGCTGCCTTCCGGTGTGCCGCCGGGTCTTGGGAGCGTCTTCAGCTCCTCCATCTTTGAGAAGAAGGGAACGAAAAGAGTGTTGACAAGGGCCATGGGAAGTCGTAATGTCAGATTGACGTTACGCAAGGACTTGAAGAGGTGGCATTGCTTGAGCTCACGCGATGGTTGTGTCTCCGGAAGCTTGGACACTGTCTGCTGAATCGTTGTTGACAGAGCCAAGTCAATGGTGTCAAGATCTGTCAAGTGGACGTGCTGTGTCGGCTGGGAGATGAAGCATATGACATCCGAGCATCTATCTCTGTGATTAGTCTACGAAGCGAACCATGTAAATCAAGCAACAATTTCGGAAACGTACAGCCCTTTCGATGAGAGTAGGAAAGGAAGCAGCAGCATATGAATAGGAGTAGCTTGGCCCTCGAGGCTATCGAGATATCTCTCCTCGCACCTCCAGTGACACCCCTAAGTTGAATCCACCCAGCGAATCCATCTAGGTATTACAACCCATTATATATAGATAATAGTTAACTAACCTACTTAGGTATTAAGTAGCTAAGATAAGATATTTATACTCTATAGGATTATAGGAATAATAAGGACTTACTTAGGAATAGAAGAACTATAGTATAAGTTATATAATAATAAAAAATAAATATAAATAAGAGATTTATAATAAGTACTTAGTAGATATTAAAATAAGTACTTATTTTACTTTAAAATAAGTATTTATAATAATAAGGGAAATAGTATTTATAAATAGTAGGACTATTTATATAAAAAGACTTATATATAGAATAACTTTAAACTTAGTTTATAATTAGATTTCTATAACTTTTTAGTAATTAACTTAATATTTATCTTTATAAATACTTTTAGTTTATCTTTATTATAAATTACTTATTAAACTTAAGATTAATTACTTTAACTTTTAAAAACCTAATATATAATAGTTTATAATTTATAACTTAGACTATAACCTTAATATATTATTATAATATATTAATCTTTAGTTTCTATTAATAGACCTTATTATTAAATAGCTAATTATAATATTTTAATTACTCCTATTTAGTAAGTTAATTATTAATACCTACTAATAATAAAATAATAAGTATATCTTTATATATCTCTACTAAGTCACTTATTTTAAGAACCTCCTCCTCTTTATAATAATTAATCTAAAACTTAATTAAAGAACTTAAAGGAACTTTTATAATAATAAACTTTAATAATAAAGTAACTTTAAAGAAAGATATTTATAAATACTTTTAAACTAAAATTAAGAAAGGAGATAATAATATTA